AGGGTCACCGAATGAAAGGGCTGGGCGGAAGCCTCAAGCCTTCCCGGGAGCCAAGGCTGGCACACACAGACCATGCAGTTCGTGGCCACAAAGTCTCGGATCCATTTGGGATGGAGGGTGGGCGAGTGGTGGGCTCAGAGTGAGGACCATAGTCTCAGACGTGTTGGGCTCCATGGGCCCTTGCGCTAGGCAACGTGAGTCGGCGGGACCGGACATTCGTGGGGTCCTCCCAGGCGGCAGTGGCCGTGGTGTCCTACTGCACGCCCCTGGGGGCTTCTGTGGCTCTCACGACCGGGCGATGCGTCTGTTCCGGGCCTGCAGGCTGTTAGCCCGGAGCAAGAAGGTTTGCCAACTGTGTACATGTGACTAGGGGGACCCGCCACCTCCACAGCCTGCAGGGACCCGAAGGTAGTTGTTGATCCATGTCACAGTGGCTCCAAGCTCAGGGGACCCAGCTTTGGACAGTTAAGGGGCCGTGCTGGGAAAGGAACCGCCTGGGTTGGGGCGGCTGGAGGCATCTAGGGCCCTGGGGCACACTCCGCGGAAGCACGGGCCTGGGTCACAGGGGGCTGGAGGGGCATCCAGTGGATCACCAGGAGAGTGAAGTCAGCACGCTGTTACCAGTGCATAGCAATGCTACTGGTTTCTGTACATTCCTTTTGTAACCTGGGAGTTTACTGAATTTATCCATTCCAGGATTCCTTAGAAGGAGTCTTTAGGGTTTTCTAGACACAAAACCATACCATCAGCAAACAGGAATAGTTTGACTTACTCTTTCATCATTTCAATGCCCTTTATTTCTCTCTTCCCTGAATGCACTGGCCAGGACATTTATCGCCATGTTGAGTAGAAGTGGTGACACTGGGCATCCTTGTCTTCCCAGTCCTTAAAGGGAACGCTATCAACTTGGCCCCATTCAGTATGATGTTGGCTGTGGGTTTCTCATATATGGCTTTTTTATTGGTTCAATTAGTTTAAAATACTTTTATTGCAATAATGTTTAATTTAAAACAGATTATGAAACATGATGTTATTTGACTTCTTAGAAAGCAAGAAAATTATATGGTTGCTTACTCTGATCCTATTAATTAAAACTTTTTTGATCATTTAACTGCTTCTCAATTATGTTTTTCCAAGCTCTGATATTTTACAATTCTGTTAATGTATTTTATTTCAAAATATTAAGAGAGCGCAGGTGTTTTGGATACCTACCTTGAGTCTGGGCTTAAATGGCTTTAACGATTTTGAGATAAATTCCTTCTATGCTTAGTCTGTTCAGAGTTTTCATCATGAAGATGTGCTGAATGTTATTGAATGCTTTCTCTGCATCTATTGAAATGATCATATAATTTTTGTTTTAATTCTGTTTATGTGCCGAATCAAGTTTCTTGATTTGTGTATGTTGAACCATCCTTGCATGCTTGTGATAAAACCCACCTATCGTGGTGAATTTTCCTTTCGTTGTGCTGTTCGATTTGGTTTGCCAGCATTTCCTTAAGGGTTTTTGTATCTAAGTTCATTTGGGATATTGGCCTGTACTTTTCTTTTTTGTGTGTGTCCTTTCCTGGATGAAATTAGGGTGATACTGGCTTTGTAGTATGAGGTAAGGACAATTCCCTCCTTCTCAATATTATGGAGCAGTTTCAGTAGGATAGGTATCACTTCCTCTTTGTAGGTTTTATAGAATTCACCTGGGAACACTTCAGGTCCTGGTTTTTTTTTTTTTTGGAAGGCGGAAATTTTGTATTTGTTTCAGCCTTGCAACTCATTACTAGTCCCCTCTGGATTCCCATTTCTTCCCGATTCAAGCTTGGGAGGTTGTGTGTTTCCAAAAATTTATCCATTTCCTCTAGATTTTCTAGTTTATGTGTGTAGAACTGTACATAGTAGTCTCAGAGGATATTTTGTATTTCTGTGGTATCAATTCTAGTGTCTCTTTTTTCATTTGTGATTGAGCTTACTGAGTTCTTTCTGTTCTATTCCCAGTTAATTTAGCAAGTAGTCAATTGACCTTTGTTTCATCAAACCTCTGCAACCTCTGCATTGTGGGGGTTCTTCTGTTAGTTTCTATTTCATTTAGTACAGCTCTCATTTATTTTAATTTCTTTTTTTCTGTTAGGTTTGGGTTTGACTTGTTCTCCTTTTACTAGGACCTTGAGGTGTAATCCTAGCACTCTTAGAGGCTGACAATGTGGGCATATTGAGCTTAGGAGTTTGACAACACCGTTAGCAAGAGCGAGACCTCATTTCTCCTAAAAAAAATAGAAAGAAGTTATATGGACAACTAAAAGTATACATATAAAACATTAGCCAGGCATGCTGGCACGTGCTGTAGTCCCAGCAACTAGGGAGGCTGAGGCAGGAGGATGCTTGAGCCCAAGAGTTTGGGGTTGTTGTGAACTACGTTGATGCCACAGAACTATAACCCAGGCAATGGAGTGAGACTCTGTCTCAAAAAAAAACAAAAACTGCTGGGATTAGAGGTATGAGCCACCATGTCTAGCCCAAAGATTTTTTAAAGGACCTGGCACATCTAAAAATTTTTGAGAGCATCATGTTGCTACACTGCATTCAAAACAGCATGATAATCAGACCTGAAGAACAAGAAACAGCAAGTATTCTAAGGGCCTTACCAGGAAACGGTGCTCTGAAGTCTGGAATTCCATACCTGCAAATATTGATGATGGATGACAATGGCATTAGTGACAACAGAGACATCCAGTGATGAAGATGACATCAATGACAAGATGAGCTTCATTACCACAATTTAAATCAAAGTGTGAGATTTCCATGGTCCATGTGTGGCCAATCACACATGTGATCTGTCCATGAAATATTTTGGCCTCCAGTCTTGGAAGAAGGACAGATGCTCTATGGAGCTTCAGGCATGACCCAAGAAAGCAGGAGGACACAGACCCTCAGGATTCCAGAGCAAGGAAACACCTTCTGGAGTAAGAAAAAACATCTCTTGAGAGGCTTTAAGTCTTCCCAGAGACGGACAATCTCAGCATAGGACATAAAGTGCACAGGTAGCCAGAGCTGCTCATCATGACCTGGGTTTTATCAGACCCACCAGCTCATAAAGTCAAGTGGGTAGAGAAGCAACCATCCTAAAACAGTGGTGGTGCATCCTGGATGAGACAAGGACAGGTGGCCCAGCCTGTCACTGCATGTGGCACTCTGCTCTGCTTCCTCTTATGCATCTCTCACCTGGAGCAGGTGGGGAGGATTACTGTGACCAGCGAACAAAAGAAAAGGATCTATAAACAGCATATGGAGAAGAGCCCTCATGCCCAGGTCAGCAGCCACTTCCCCACAGTCTACCCTGAGGCTATTCTCACCTGGAGTCACCAGCTCTGTCCCTTCCAGTTCACAAAAATCGCGTGGAGATCTGGCTATCTTGTTCACTCACCTGGCATGGGTTTTGGGGTAAAAGAGTTTGTGCTTTATAGTAGGGAACCGGAGGGATGCTAGAAACATCAGACACCAGGGCATGGACACAAGGACCCTATCCTAGAAACATTTCCAGTTTGACTCTCCTAATCTTAGACTTCCAGCCTGCTTTGGTCCCCAAGTACCCCCCAGCTGAAGCCTCTGCATCCGTGGTACCCTATCTACCCTCCATCCCTCCTGGCTCTCCAGCCTCCCGACCTCAATCCCGATCAGATTCTCTGATCTCTGTCCCTGTGTGATCCTTCCCACAGCCCATGTGGGCCTGGACATCTGCTGTTTCCTCTGCAGCCATGTCAGGACACTATCTGTGTATTTAAGAATCTTATCCTTCTCTCATGTCCCCATCTCACCCTTCACACCACTGAACGTGGATGAAGGGCACCCTCAGCTTCACTGCACCGGCTCAGTCGCTCTTCCCGAAGCCGGTGGGGCTGCTCCACTCAGAGTCCTCAGCCCCACCCCAAAGCCACTGCCCCTATAAAACCCTGTTCCATGGTGACACTCAAAACCAATCACATCTGCTAGCCTCAATCCCCACTCAAGCTCTAAAATTCCTCAGCCCCAGTCAGTCTGATCCTGCCAGGCCACACCTCACTGGCCACCTCTGCCTCCAGCACCCCACCTCGTAGGCAGATCTTGAGAGGACCCAGACCAGACCCGACGTGAGTAGCCATAGCAGCAAGACAACTCAGATGGGAGATTCCATGTCTCACTTTTCATATCATGTGTGTGGACTCTCTGTACGAAACACACGCTGTCTTTGGGAAGAAAACACCAAAAGCAAGAAGTTGAGGACTCAAATGTCTGGCTGAGGAGGAAGTCAGGCTAGCTGCTGGGTCGGGAGCCTGGCGCGGCCATTCAGGGCTGAGAGCGGCCAAGATCTGAGTGTCCCCTAGGGGGCGCGCGTCCCCCACCGCTGTCTTTTATGGCCGTCTAACACATTACTACTGTGTACTTAGAACCAGCTTGGTGATCAGGGCTGATGGGCTCACGATCTGATCAGGCTACGTCGCTGCCATAGAAGGCAAGGCCTTTTTGCCACAGAAAGGAAATGTCACAGCTCACGGGGAGTACCCCCAAGATGTAGGGCCCTGGGCTTATGCTGTTACCCACAGTGGTACAAAAATGTCAGCATGTCCCATCTTCACACACAAAGGCTCATGACAAAACTCTCCATTTCAGGGCTGTGTACTTGAAAAGGGTAAAATCTTGTCCCTTTAATGAGAGCTCCTTGTGCTCCCCCAGCCCCCTGTGAGGCTTCCGGTGCCCCCCCTCACCACCTCCGACAACTGCACTGTCAGCTGGCAGGGCGCCCACCATGTCGGAAGGTGGGGACGATGCATTCAAAATGGCCGGGGTTGCCGTGCCACATGCTCATTGGCCAGGAAGAGAGAGGTGTGGTCACTGGGAACGCCCCATCCTCCTTGGACATGACCAGTTCCTCCGGACTAGCTCGAGTCACTCTCATTCTTGACCTCTGGAAGCAGAAAGACTCTTCAAGAATAGAGTCCTAACCTTGGACTGAAACCGACAAAACACTCATCATGTTTTCTATGCGCTCGCTTATTTGCTTTATAACAGCCGTGGTCACAAACATCGCCATACATAAACTGGCTGACTTGATCTTGTACAAGACGGAGGAATTCCTACCAGAGCTATCAACGGTGCTTGCAACGGAATACACAATTGTCGACTTAAAGCTGATTGCATCATTTCTGATCGCAAAAATGCTCAAGTGTCTACTGAGGGCCACAGTTTCCTTTGCATGCAACATGTTGGATATGCACGGCTTCCCAAACAAGCTCACAGATTTCTTCGACAAGATGAAGCGTCTCATCCCAGCACAAGTGATACTGCAATCTACTCATCCATCCAGCAACGTCTCGGCATGACCGTCCTGAACTCTAAGAAGGTAAGATAACATATTATTTTTGAAAAAATAATGTCTCCTGGCAAATTTGCACCAGCGGTGTGCATTCATCGCTAATTATAAATCTTACAAATTGTGATAACATTTGTAGGAGGAAAATGAGATTCCGGTTTTCTTTCCTGAGCTGGCCTTGTTCCCGGAGTATCACCGACAATACACAGAAAATTTCAATCACAACACCAGCTTCCTTTCACCTAGTCCTCCAACGGGAAGAAATTCTTGAGGATCTGTACCCTCCGATATTGTCCACACGTGCCGGACGTCTTCCTACTTCTGTGATTAAGCACTAGCGGAACTCCAGGATCTGGATTCATCCACAAACACATGCACGTGAATATTTACTCTGAAAAATAAAGTGAGATTTAGCTTTACTGAGGTCTCACGCGTGTTTCTGTGCCCACCACCTGCTCATGCTGGGGTGAGTCTCTGGCCTGTATTTGGGGAAGGGGGGGGGTCTCAGTGTAGAGACAGGCGTGAGATGGGGGAGTAGATCAATACGGGTCTGGGGAGCTGAGGGCTGGGAGCCTGCTGGGTATAGGGAAGGGGAAGATTCCAAGGGTGAAATCCCATAGTTGACTCCTGTGGGTGTTTGAGAACTTGCTACTCAGAAAGGGAAGCTCCAGGGGGGAACAAGGACAGACTTGGTGCCCAGGGGGTGCTCATTCTAAGTGAGGGGAGGAAACAAATGCAGTTCAGAGTGGAAATGGCCTCCGTGAGGACTCAGGTGTGACAACAAAGAGGGCCCCAACAGTCTATTTGGGGGTGGGAAGTTTTCAAGGGGCAAAATTTGCTGGTGTCAGAGGAAAAGTGAGGCTCTGAAGCCACCAAGACATCCCTGGCAGTGCAGAAGCCACCTTCAAGGGCCCCTGGACACCCTGACATCTTGTGAGTCCTACATCCCCCTGCCCTGTTCTCCGTGACGACATCTGGGGCTCTGGACTCTCCAGGGACATCCACGTGTCTCCACACATCTGGGACCATGCATTCCCTGGAGCCCAGGGCCTGGGTTCCCACACACCCGTGCTGCCTGTGTCCCCACTTCTGGCCTGTGCATTTGCCAAGGTTGTCTGGGCCCTGGAGCTCCTCCTCCTCCCCTGCCCAGACTCCTATTAGGCCTCTTCTGGGGTCTAATTTTCATTACTTGATGCATCTTGGAGTACCCTACAGGACAGAGGTGGAGATTGTGCTTTTCCACACTGTGCCCACCCATACTTGCAAAGCTATTACCCTAAGCCCTCTGTGAGATCAAGCTGCCCAAACCTCTCCCTGGTCAGAGAAGGTTACTGGAAAACATTGGCCCTATGTCTGGAAACCTCAATCCCCTGTCTCCATTCCTCACCCCAGCCTGGCCCTTCATTCTCCACTCTTCCCCGAGGCTGGGCGCCAGGCCCCTTCTCTGCTCAGACCCCCTCCCTCTCATGAGAAACTTGCAGCCTCAGCTCCACTTTCCCCCACCCTATAGCTCACTTTTGTGTCCTTGTACTTGTCACTTCCTCCCTCAGTGGGATTCTCCCCATTTGCTCTCCATTGTCCCGGTGTCATGGCCCGTGTTGGCCCCTTTCCGGGGACCCCTGCACTAACCCTTTAGCTCCTGAGGCCCAGCAGCCTTCTGTCTAGACATGTATCTGTCTAACTCCCTAGCCAGACAGACAGACACACACGCTGTCACACACACAGGTGGCCCAGTGGCTGCCCCTACTCCATGTCACCCTGCAATAGCACTAAGCCCCACACCTTTGACTCCTGGCTCTGGGTCTGCCCACAGGGGCCTCCCTGAACCCACTTCCTTCTGAGGTGGGTCTGGGGCTTCTCCCTTGCCTTAATGAACTCCTCTCACGCTGTCTGTGCTTTGCAGCCTACAACGTCCCATCTCCCCTCTGCCCAGGACCTCCCACCCCCCTGTTCACTTTGCATCTCTAATGTCCTGAGTGCCACAGATTCTCATGTGTCTCTTCAGAAGTGTTTCCACACTGCGGCGTAAGGATTTACACACTGTTGGTGCCTGCCCAGATCCCCGTCCCCAAGCTGCTCCTTCCACCTCCGGGGTGCCCACATCTGCAGAGACTTGCCCTCAGCTGCGTGCGAGCCACATGCAAGGGTGACTGCCATTCACCTTCCTTCTGATAACAGCTGGCAGCCAGTGTCTCACTGTCACACTCACCTCTGGGTCTCCATAGTGATGTCACCTCTGTGCTGCAGTGTGTGCACCACAGCCTCCTGGGATCAGGCTTAAGTCTCCCATGGAACCAGGGTCTGCTTGGATTCCCTGGAGCACTTCCTCAATAAATCCCTTAAAACAACATCTCACAGTCTGCTTCTAGAAAAAGACACCCAACAGTATTCCTAGGAAGCCAACCATAAGAGTAGTGTTGAGGGTTGGATGACTTCCCAGGAAAGCCAGTAGGCACCTCATGACAGCTGCTAGGTGGAGGGAGGACAGTCACCAAGGCATGTGTCCCCTGTGGGATCGCTGGTACTTCATTACAGGGGATCTTGGATGAACTACAAGGTATGCACTGCTGGTACATTGTCTCTGGGTTTGATAACTCCAGGGGAGATGATAACAACAGGTGTGTGGGATGGGATGGCTGCTCACAAGTGGCACTGAGGTGCTGAGAGAAAAAAGGACAGACTCAGACCCATCACTCAGTGGTTTAAAGTACAGTGTCAGCGGTGGAAGTGATCCTCCCCTCCTGCAGCCTAAGAGCAGGTACACTTGAGGACCAGCCACAAGACTTGACTCCAAGGAGGAAAACATCAGAGGACCGAGGAGAGGGGTGCGCCCTGCAGGGAGATCAGCTACTTCTCCCTGTGAGAAATCGGGTCCCTTAGGTAAAAGTCGTGACAGAGGATAAGAAATTAATAGGAAATAGAGAGAATAATGGAAATGAAAGAATACGCACAGGAAGGTATAGTTTCATAGATTTATATAAAGAAATTAGCATAAAGCAAGGGTACTCAGGGATCCCCACTACATACCCATTGGTAGTGAGGCCATGAGGTTAGTTTCACATAGGTTTTATAATCACAGATATCAGGTATTGGTTGCCAGGAGTAACAGATCTACATAATATCAGGTATTTCGGTTTGGATTTAAAAAGTCTTTTCAAGAGACTTCTAAAATGTCCTAATCTATTCTATCCATGTGAACAAACATTTACAAAATCTTTCAGGGACTAACTTCTAAGTTCTAAGAGACAGCTATCATTTAACAGAGGGGTAACACAGAGATACCGTGGCTCCATATTTCTTTTATCTAATTGTTGTGAATTGAGACAGAGAGTCAGAAGGAAGCAGGAACTTGGCTGTTTGTTAATTGCTCTTAGCCATAAATGTCCATCTCCTCTCTCGGGCTGGGCACTCATTATTCTGGCTCCCATTCTGTGGTGCCATGTATAGCTGCCTTGTCTTTCAAGAATGGGGGCGCCACAGGTTTGAGATAACAGGAGCCACCTTGGATTGCATCTGACTGGAGCTTTGAGCCCTCCCGAGGCAACACATCCTTTGATATGCAAACAAATGGGTTCACATGTTCCTTCAGCACAAAGACCTGCAAAACTCCTGAAATCATTTCTGTCTTTAATATAGCAATATTGGGTGATAAAATAATAATCTTATCAGCCACATCTCATTAATTCCTCAATTGTCTTTCCTCAACACACCCTCACCCCAACCTGAGCAGGCAATGAAGCTTCGCATTTCAGACAATCTCTCGCCTGGCCCTATGTGTGTCCCTCTCTTCCCCTGGCCCACACTGTTCTCCTTTTGCTATATTAACTCTGTTGTTACACGGCTTTCTTGAGTTCAGGGAGAAATGCTACTAGAATGTCAACCCTGAGATGTTTAGTAACCCCTGAGTCTGTAACAAGTTGAACAGCCCTAAATTTGGGCTGGTATTTGATGTGAGGTTGCTCATGACCTGTGAATTCAGGGCTGACCCTGACTGGTTAGCACCAGAACTGAATTGCACTGCAGTATAGCAGTAGGGTCAACAATCAAAAGGTTCAGATGTGGGTTAAAGGAGTCCCTGAGATGAGACTCCAGGTCAAAAACAAGAAAACAAATACACAATGCATGAGCCCACTGGGATCCTCAGGAGGGCCAGTTAGCAGTGCACTGGTGAAGAGATGCCAGCGTCACTGAGATTTGAATCACAGTCATTTCTCTGAGATCAGATGTGAATGTAGAAAAACTGTTTCAGAGCTGTACTCCATAGTGCCAGTGGGATGATGGGGTCTGGCAATGACAGAAACCAGCACCAAGCCATCCAACCAGGGCGGGCATGAGAACTAGGCAGCAGTATTATATGCCCATAAGGAGAGGTTGATCTGCAAAGATTTTAGGAGACATCTCATACAGCACACTGTGTTTATGGACAAGAGATGTGGACAGCCAATGAGTGTGTCACTTACTGGGCATCCATAGGCATAATCGAGAGCAGAAGGCTGATGTCAGCTGCCCCACATAACATCATGATCATTGCTATGTAAAGATCTGAGACAGATTTTGAGTCAGAAAGTTTGGATTGATAAAAAAGTTGAGTTCCCTGAAAGACCACGGCAAGTGTACACTATTGTGATGCACCAGTTCATCCTGGACAGAACCCACAGCCATTAGCAGGTGACAAGGCACTCCTGCAAATGTCCTCGACTGTAGCCCCACCGTAGCTGCTGTGAGGGATGGTTTACCTTCACTAGAGCAGCACATGACTCACCTTCAGACATGTGCTATGCACAGAAGGGCAGGGAAATATATTTTTTCAAAACACACAGGAGGATGGATCATAATTATTCCCACTTACATGGAAGCAACAGCAGTATACTTCGTGATCTCTCCTCCCACCTCTCGCTTTCTCTCTCATTATGGTTCTGTAGAGTCCTAAGGGACCTGCCCATCTTGACACTCTGTAGTACATCACATGCGCCAATCTAATTTGGTGGGCATGGCCAGAAGGCTGGCTCTGTGGACACTTTCTCCTGAGCCTCTACACATGACCCCTCCAGCAGGGTGCTGTCGCAAAAATCAGGTTTCTTATACCAGACCTCATGCTGTTTATGACCCGTACTTTGATGTCACATTGAGTCACTTCCCTACACCTGTTAGTTTTAGAAGTCACCAGCCCACCCATACTCACTGGGATGGCACATAGGCCCCACATATCAATGGTGAGAGTGGCAAAAACTTTTCTGCCACATTTTAAAAACACAACACATTCTATGGCTGGTGGGGATTTGGGTGAATTTCCATTTGGGCTTATTGAGTTGGATCTCTGTGAATGTTCCAGCTCTAGTTTGTCATGAACACATGTCTGCCTTTCTCTTGAATATACACCTAGGGGGTATATGTGTTCTAAAGTTCCTGAGATACTTTTCTTAGAATGTTGGCCTCCAGTTCCACCCAAGTTGCTGCAAAAGACATTATTTTATTCCTTTACCTGGCTGAATAATACTCCATGCTGTATGTATGTAAATATAAACATATATGCCTATGAATTATCCTATATGCAGAAAAGTGAAAAAAAAAACATATATGCCCAATGGTGTCAAAAAAACAGCATATGTGTGTGTGTGTGTGTGTGTGCATATAGATACAGTTTCTTTTTTTTTCTTTTTTTTTTTTTTTTTTTTGAGACAGAGTCTCACTTTGTTGTCCAGGCTAGAGTGAGTGCCGTGGCGTCAGCCTAGCTCACAGCAACCTCAAACTCCTGGGCTCAAGCAATCCTGCTGCCTCAGCCTCCCAAGTAGCTGGGACTACAGGCATGCGCCACCATGCCCGGCTAATTTTTTCTATATATATATTAGTTTTCCAATTAATTTCTTTCTATTTATAGTAGAGACAGGGTCTGGCTCCTGCTCAGGCTGGTTTAGAACTCCTGACCTCGAGCAATCTGCCCGCCTTGGCCTCCCAGAGAGCTAGGATTATAGGCGTGAGCCACCACGCCCGGCCAATACAGTTTCTTTATACACACCTCAGTTGATGCGCATATAGATTTATTCCCTTTCTTTGTAATTGTGAATTGTTCTGCATTAAACATTCCAGTGCAGGTGTTATTTTGATATAATGACTTCTTCTCCATTGGGCAGCTATATGGTAGTGCGATTGCTGGATCGCATGCATAGTAGGTCTACTTTTAGTTCTTTGAGGAATCACCATACGATTTTCCATACTGTTAGAGGTTGTACTAGTTAACATTCCCACCACCAATGTACAAGCGTTCCTTTGTCACCTCATCTATTCACCATCTATTCTTTCTTGATTCTTGGATAACAGCCATCCTGATTGGGCATAATGGGTATCTCATGGTGGTTTTAATTTGCATTACCCCAATGATTAGTAAGATCAAACATGATTTCATGTTTGTTAGCCATTTGTATATCTTCTTTTCACAAAAATCCCTTCATATCTTTTCCCCCTTTGAAATGAGCTTGTTTTATTTTTTTCTTGTTGATTTGTTTGAATTCGTTGTGGATTCTGGGTATTAGTCCCTTGTTGGATGTGTAGTTTGCAAATATTTCCCCCCATTTTGTAGTTTGTCTATTCTGTTGATTATTGCCTTGGCTGTGCAAAAACATTTAGTTTTAGTAAGTCTTATTTTTTTCTTCCTGCTCTATTTGCTTCTGAGATATTAGTCATAAATTCCACTATGCCACTATCCATATTCCTCTATTCCACTAATGCCACTATCTAGAAGCATTTTTCCCACGTTTCCTTCTGTAATTTCTATGGCTTCAGGTCTGACATTTAAGTTTTTAATCCATCTGGAGTTAATTTTTGTAGATGGTGAGAGAGATGGATCCAGTTTCCTTCTTCTCCATAAATCTCTCCAATTTTCCCAGTACCATCTATAGATGGGGCACCCTTTCCCTCTCTGACCTTTCACAAATCAGAGAGTGGTAGGTGCATAGTTTTATGCCTGGGCTCTATCTTTGCTCCATTGACCTATGAGTCTACTTTCATGCCAGTGCAATCGTGTTTCCGTTACTACAGCCTTGTACTATATAATTTCAAGTCATGTAATGTGATTCTTTTGGAGACGTTTTTCCCCTTAGGATTGCCTTGTGTTTTCGGGCTCTACTGTGATTCCATATGAAATTTTGGATGGTTTTTAGTAATTCTCAGAAAAATGACATCAGGATTTTGCTGGGAATTGCACTGAATCTGTAAATAATCACTTTGGCCCTTATGGACATGTTAACAATATTGAATCTTTTGACACATGAGCGTGGGATTAATTTCCATGAGTTTGTGTCACCTATGATTTCTTTCATCATATATACAGTTCTCCATGTACAGATGTTTTACCTCCTTGGTTAATTACATTCCCAGGTATTTTATTTTTTAGCCTATAAGGAGTTGTATTGAGTTCCTGCTTTGATTCTCAACATCTCAACATGGCTGTCATTTTTTCCCACCAGGCAAACACCACGTTACTGGGAAGGCCGACCAAAGAAGAAAATGCCCACGTCGCTCTCTGCAGCCACAACCTCTTGGGTCACAACTGAACAAAAAGCAGAAGCTTCAGGTGAGCAACAACATGGGGCCGAGGGTCACGAAATGAAGGGGCTGGGCGGAAACCCCAAGCCTTCCTGGGAGCCAAGGGAGGCTGGCACACACAGGCCGTGCAGTTCGTGGCCACAAAGCCTCAGATCCATTTGGGATGGAGTGTGCCGAGTGGCAGGCTCAGAGTCAAGACCATACCCTCAGACTTCTAGGGCTCCAGGGGTCCGTGCGCGAGGCGAGGTGATGCCAGTGCCCGTGAGGCCGCGGGGTTGGACATTCTTGGGGCTCCTCCCAGGCAGCGGCCGTGGCGTGGTACTGCCCGCTCCTAGGGGCTTCTGTGGCTCTCTGGACCCAGCGATGAGTAGAGTCCTAGTTCGTAGGCCGTGCGCCAAGGGGCAAAAGGTTTGCAAACTGTGTCCATGTGTCTCCGGTTGCACCAGCTCCACAGCCTGCAGGGACTGGCAGGTAGTTGATGGTCGATGTCACAGTCGCCCCAAGTTCCAGGAACCTAGCTTTAGACCATTAAGGGGCCGTGCTGGGAAAGGAACCTCCTGGGCTGGGGCGGCTGGAGGCATCTAGGGCCATGGCGCACACTCCGAGGAAGCAGGGGCCTGGCTCACAGGTGGTTGGAGAGGCATCCAGTCGTCTGGCTCCAGATCACCAGGAGAGTGAAGTCAACACGCTGTATCCAGTGCATAGCAATGCTACTGATTTGTGTACATTCCTGTTGTACCCTGAGAGCTTACTGAATTTATCCATTCCGGGATTCCTTTGAAGGAGTCTTCGGGGTTTTCTAGATACAAGATCATACCATCAGCAAACAGGAATAGTTTGACCTCCTCTTTCCTTATTTCAATGCCCTTTATTTTTCTCTTGCCTGAATGCACTGGCCAGGACATTCAGTACCGTGCTGAGTAGAAGAGGTGACAGTGGGCATCCTTGCCTTTTCCCAGTTCTTAAATGGCACACTATCAACTTGGCCTCATTCAGTATGATGTTGGTTGTGGGTTTGTCATATGTGGCTTTTTTATTGATTCAATTGAACTACTTTTATTGCAATAATGTTGAATTTAAAACAGATTATGAAACATGATGTTATTTGACTTTTCAGAAAGCAAGAAAATTATATGGTTGCTTACTCTATATCCTGTTAATTAAAACTTTTTTGATCATCTAATTGCATCTCATTTACTTTTTTTCAAGCCATGGTATTTTACAATTCTGTTAACATATTCTATTTCAAAATATTAACTGAGCACAGATGTTTTGGATAGATAGCTTGAGTTGGGGCTTAAATGGCTTTCATGATTTTGAGATATGTTCCTTCTATGCTCAGTTTGTTCAGAGTTTTCTTTCTTTCTTTCTTTCTTTTTTTTTTTTTTTTTTTTTAGACAGAGTCTCACTCTGTTTCCCAGGCTAGAGTGCTGTGGCATCAGCCTAGCTCACAGCAACCTCAAACTCCTGGGCTCAAGCAATCCTTCTGCCTTAGCCTCCCAAGTAGCTGGAACTACAGGCATGTGCCACCATGCCCAGATAATTTTTTCTATATATTTTTAGTTGGCCAATTAATTTCTTTCTATTTTTAGTAGAGACGGGGTCTCACTGTTGCTCAGGCTGGTTTTGAACTCCTGACCTCGAGCAATCCGCCCGCTCGGCCTCCCAGAGTGCTAGGATTACAGGGGTGAGCCACCAAGCCCAGCCGTTCAGAGTTTTCATCATGAAGATGTGCTGGATGTTATTGAATGCTTTTTCTGCATCTATTGCAATGAGCGTATAATGTTTGTTTTTAATTCTTTTTATGTGCCAAATTGCGTTTATTGATTTGTGTATGTTGAACCATCCTTGCATGCTTGGGATGAAACCTAGTTATTCTGGTGAATCATCCTTGCGTTATGCTGTTTGATTTGGTTTCCTAGTATTTTCTTAAGGGTTTTTGTATCTAGGTTCATTAGGGATATTGGCCTGTACTTTTCTTTTTTGTGTGTGTCCTTTCCTGGCTGGAATCAGGGTGATACTGGCTTTGTTGTATGAGGTAAGGAGGATTCCCTCCTTCTCAATATTATGGAACAGTTTCAGTATGATAGGTACCAGTTCTTCTTTGTAGGTCTGGTAGAATTCACCTGGGAAGCCTTTGGGTCCTGCTATTTTATTGGAGGGGAGGGGAGATTTTGTATTTGTTTCTAGCTAGTTACTCATTACTGGTCTTCTGTGGATTCCCATTTCTTCGTGTTTCAAGCTTGCGAGGTTGTTTGTTTCCCAAAATTTATCCATTTCCTCTAGATTTTCTAGTTTATGTGTGTAGAACATTACATACTAGTCCCAGAGGATATTTTGTACTTCTATAATATCAATTCTAATGTCTCTTTTTTCATTTCTCATTGAGCTTATTGAATTCTTTCTTTTCTATTCCCAGTCAATTTAGCAAGTAGTCAATTGACCTTTGTTTCATCAAACCTCTGCAACCTCTGCATTGTGGTGGTTCTTCTGTTTGTTTCTGTTTCATTTAGTACAGCTATGAATTTTTTAATTTATTTTCTTCTGCTAGGTTTGGATTTGATTGTCCTTCCTTTACTAAGTCCTTGAGCTGTAATTGTAGCACTCTGGGAGGCCGAGGCGTATGGATCCTTTGAGCTCAGGAGTTCGAAAGCAGCCTGAGCAAGAGCGGACCCTGTCTCAAAAAAAAAAAAAAAAAATAGAAAGAAATTAGGTGGACAACTAAAATTATATATAGAAAAATTAGACAGGCATGGTGGCACATGCCTGTAGTCCCAGCAACTCGGGAGGCTGAGGCAGTGGGATTGCTTCAGCCGAGGAGTTTAAGGTTGCTATAGGCTAAGCTGACACCACAGCACTCTAGCCTGGGCAACAGAGTGAGACTCTGTCTCAAAAAAATAAAAATAAAAAGTGCTGGGATTAGAGGTATGAGCCACCATGTCCAGCCCAATGATTTCTTAAAGGGCCTGGCCCATCTAAACGTACTGCAGAACATCATGTTGCTACACTGCATTGAAAACAGCATGATAACCAGACCTGAAGAATAAGAAACAGCAAGTATTCTAAGTGCCTTACCAGGAAATAGGGCTCTGAAGTCTGGAATTCAATGCCTGTAAACACTGATCATGGATGACAATAGCATAAGTGACAACAGAGACATCCAATGATGAAGATGATATCAATGACAGGATGAGCTTCATTTTCACAATTTAAAGCCAAGTGTGATATATCCATGGTCCACGGGGCCACATTCATGTGTGGCCAATCACACATGTGCCCCATCAATGCAATATTTTGGTCTTCAATATTAGAAGAAGGACAGATGCTGTGTGCAGCCTCTGGCATGACCCAAGAAAGCAGGAGGACACAGACCCTCAGGATTCCAGAGCAAGGACACACTTTCTGGAGCAACAATATAGAGTTCCTGAGAGGCTTCTAAGCCTTCCCAGAGACAGACAATCTCAACACGGGACATAACGTGCACAGGTAGCCAGAGCTTCTCATCATGATCTGGGTTTTATCGGACCCACCAACTCATAAAGTCAAGTGAGGAGAGAACTGACCATCCTAAAAGAGTGGTGGTGTATCCTTGATGAGACAAGGACAGGCAGCCCAGACTGTCACTGCATCCGGCACTCTGCTCTGATTCCTGTTAGCAGGTCTCACCTGGAGACTCATGGGGCGGTTACTGTGACCAGCCAACAAAGAAGGAGAAGGTTAGACAAACAGCACATCGAGCACTCCCCTCAATGCCCACCTCACCTTATAGCCCCCCACGATCTTCCCTGAGGCTATTCTTCAGCCTGGAGTCACAAGCTCTGTCACCTCCAGTTCACACAAATCGCCCGGAGATCTGGCTAACTTGTTCACCCACCTGACATGGTTTTGGGGTAAAATAGTTTGTGCTTTACAGTAGGGCTGCCAAGGGATGCTGCAAACATCAGGCACCAGAGCATGGACACAAGGACACCGTCCTAGAAATATTTCCAGTTTTTCTCTACTCATCTTAGACTTCCAGCCTGCTTTGGTCACCAAGTACCCCCAGCTGAAGCCTCTGCATCCGTGGTTCCCTATCCATCCTCCATCCCTCCTGCCTCTCCAGCCTCCTGACCTCACAGATTCTCTGATCTCTGTCCCTGTGTGATGCTTCCCGTGGCCCGTGTGGGCCTGGACATCTGCTGTTTCCTCTGGAACCCATGTCAGCACATTATCTGTGTCTTTAAGAATCTTATTCTTCTCTCATGTCCCCATCTCACCCTTCACACCATTGAACGTGGACGAAGGGCACCCTCAGCTTCACTGCACCGGCTCCGTTGCTCTTCCCTTAACAGGTGGGGCCGCCCCACTCAGAGTCCTCAGCCCCACCCCCAAGCCACGGCCTGATAAAACCCTGTTCCGTGGTGACACTCCGTCCTCTAGAAACCCAATCACATGTAACACCCCTAATTCCCACTCAAGCTCTAAAATTCCTCAGCCCCGTGAGTCCGATCCTCCCGGGCCACACCTCACTGCCCACCTCTGCGTTCAGCACCCCACCTCGTGGGCAGGTCTTGAGAGGACCCAGGGCAGGTGCTGGGTCGGGTGCCTGGCGCGGCCAATCAGGGCTGAGAGCGGTCAAGATCTGTGTGTCCACCGTGGGGCGCACATCCTAACCCCGCTCTTTTAAGGCCTTCTAACATTTTACTTAAGTGTAATTAGAACAAGCTTGGTGATCAGGGCCACTGGGCTCATGAGTTCGTCAGGCAATGTCGCTGCCATAGAAAGCAAAGCTGTTTTGCCACAGAAAAGAAATTTGATAGCTCACAGGAAGTACTGCCTGGATATTGGGTCATGGGGCTTATTCTGCCACTCACAGTTGTACAGAAATGTCAATATGCCCCATTTTCACATACAAAGACTTATGACAAAACTCTCCTTTTCAAGCCTGTGTACTTGATCCCAGTCAAGTCACGTCCCTTTAATCAGAGCTCCTTGTGCTCCCCCTGCCCCTTGTGAGGCTCCCGCTGTCCCTCACCACCTCCGACAATTGCACCGTCAGCCCATAACGTCGGAGGTGGTGACAATATATTTAAAATAGCCGGGCTTGTCATGTGACACTCTCATTGGCCAGAACTGCCATCACTAGGAACGTCACATCCTCCATGGACGTGTCCATTTCATCTTGGACTGACGTGAGGCACTCTCACTCGTGCGAGACCTCAGGAAGCAGAAAGACTCTCCAGGAATAGAGTCCTAGCCTTGGACTGAAACCAACAGGACACTCATCATGTTTTCTAAGGGATCGCTTATTTCCTTTATAAAAACCGGAGTCATGAACTTCGCCGTGTATGTACTGGCTGACTGTATCGTGTGCAAGATGGAGGAATTCCTACACGAGCAATTAAGGGCGCCTGCAACGGAACACACAATCGGCATCTTAAAGGCGATTGCATCAATTCAGATCCAACAAATGCTCAAGTATCTACTGACGGCCACAGTTGTGTTTGCATACAAGTTGGATGTCCAAGGTGTCCGAAACAAGCTCACATATTTCTTCAACAAGGTGAAGCGTCTAATCCCAGTACAAGCGACTGTGCTCATCTACTTATCCATCCAGCAAGCTCTCAGCATGACCATCCAGTACATTAAGCAGGTAAGATAACATATTACTTTTTTTTTTTTTTTTTTTTTGAGACAGAGTCTCGCTTTGTTGTCCAGGCTAGAGTGAGTGCCGTGGCGTCAGCCTAGCTCACAGCAACCTCAAACTCCTGGGCTCGAGTGATCCTTCTGCCTCAGCCTCCCGGGTAGCTGGGACTACAGGCATGCACCACCATGCCCGGCTAATTTTTTATATATATATCAGTTGGCCAATTAATTTCTTTCTATTTATAGTAGAGACGGGGTCTCGCTCTTGCTCAGGCTGGTTTTGAACTCCTGACCTTGAGCAATCCGCCCGCCTCGGCCTCCCAAGAGCTAGGATTACAGGCGTGAGCCACAGCGCCCGGCCTAACATATTACTTTTGAAAAAATAATGTCTCCTGGCAAATTTGCACCAGCGGTGTGGATGCATTGCTAATTGTAAAATCCTACAAATTGTGATAACATCTGGGGGAGGAAAAAGAGATTCCGGTTTTCTTTCCTGAACTGGCCTCGTTCCTGGGGTATCACCAAAAATACTCAGAAAATGTCAATCTGGACACTTGCTTTTTTTTCACTAGGTCCTCCTCCCGGGAAGAAATGCTTGAGGATCTTTGCCCTCCGATGTCGTCCACACGTGCAGACGTCTCTGTCATTCTAGGATCACGACCTCGCTGGACTCCAGGATCTGGATTCGTCCACACACGCATGCACGTGAATCTTGACACTAAAAAATAAAGTGAGATTTAGCTCGAATGAGGTCTCAGTGGTGTTTCTGTGCCCACCACCTGCTCATGCTGGGGTGAGTCTCTGGGCTGTATTTGGGGAGAGGAGGGGGTCTCAATGTGGAGAGAGGCGTGAGAGGGGGGAGAAGGTCAATATGGTCTGGGAGCTGAGGGCTGGGAGCCTTCTGGGTGTAGGGAAAGGGGAAGATTCTGAGGGTGAGATTCCATGGTCGAGTCCTGTGGGTGTTTGAGAACCTGCTGCTGAGAAAGGGAAGCTGGGGGGGGGAACAAGGACAGACCTGGTGCCCTGGGGGCTCCTCCTAAGTGAGGGGAGGAAACAAATGCAGATCAGAATGGAAACGGCCTCCTTGAAGACTGAGGTGTGACAATAAAGAGGGCCCCAAACAGTCTATTTGGGGGTGGGAAGGGTTCAAGGGGCAATTTTTGCAGGTGAGGCTCGGAAGCCACCAAGACAGCCCTGGCAGTGTAGAACCCACCTTCAAGGGCCCCTGTACACCCTGACATCTTGTGAGTCCTAGATCTCACTGCCCTGCTCTCTGTGAGGACTTCTTGGGCTCTGCACAGTCCAGGGACATCCCCATGTCTCCACGCCTCTGGGACCATGTGCTCCCTGGAGCCCAGGGCCTGAGCTCCCAGGCACCCGAATTCAGTGTTTCCACACTTCCCGTTGGAACTGTGCTCATCCCAAAGTCTTCCTGGCCCTGGGGCTCCTCCCTGTCCCCTGCCCAGGCTTCTATTTGACCTCTCCGGGGGTCTAACTAATTTTCATTAACTCACACATCTCCTTGGCATCCTTCTACATGACAAAGGGGCAGATTTTGCTTTTCCATAGTGCCCCCCCATGCTTTTCTCGCTGTAACTACCCCACCCATAGCCCCCCTTGAGATCAAGCTGCTCCCTGGGCAGAGCTGGACACTGGAGAACACCGGCCCTCCCTCTGGAAACCTCCATGCCCCGTCTCTACTCCCCACCCTTCCCCCAGGCGGGTGGCCAGGCCCCTCCTCTGCCCAGACGCCCCCCTGCTCAAACTCCCTCCCTCTCCTGAAAGACTTGCAGCCTCGGCTCCAATTGTCCCACCATATTGCTGACTTCTCCCTCCTCATGCCAGTAACTTCTTCCCTCTGTGGATTCTCACCTTTCTGGTAACCTCATCCCACTTGGCCCCTTTACCTGGAACCCCTGCACTAGCCCTTTGGCTGCTGAGGCCCAGCAGCCTTGTGTTTAGACATGCATCAGTCTAACTCCCTACTCACACGGCCCGATGGCTGCCCCTACTCCAAGTCACACTGGAATTGGACTAAGCCCCACACCTTTGTGGGGTTTTTTGTTTTTTTGTTTTTGAGACAGAGTCTCTCTCTGTTGCCCAAGTTAGAGTGCCATGGCGTCAGCCTAGCTCACAGCAACCTCACACTCCTGGGCTCAAGCAATCCTCCTGCCTCAGCCTCCCAAGTAGCTGGGACTACAGGCATGCGCCACTATGCCTTGCTAATTTTTTTCTATTTTTAGTTGTTTTTGGCTAATTTCTTTCTATTTTTAGTAGATACAGGGTCTCACTCTCGCTCAGGCTGGTCTTGAACTCCTGAGCTCAAGCAATCCTCCTGCCTCAGCCTCCCAGAGTGCTAGGATTACAGACATAAGCCACCGCGCCCAGCCGAGACCATCCTTTTAAAAATGAAGTATCACGGCCGGGCGCGGTGGCTCACGCCTCTAATCCTAGCTCTCTAGGAGGCCGAGGCGGGCGGATTGCTCGAGGTCAGGAGTTCGAAACCAGCCTGAGCAAGAGCGAGACCCCATCTCTACTATAAATAGAAAGAAATTAATTGGCCAACTAATATATATAGAAAAAATTAGCCGGGCATGGTGGTGCATGCCTGTAGTCCCAGCTACTCGGGAGGCTGAGGCAGCAGGATCGCTTGAGCCCAGGAGTTTGAGGTTGCTGTGAGCTAGGCTGATGCCATGGCACTCACTCTAGCCTGGGCAACAGAGTGAGACTCTGTCTCAAAAAAAAAAAAAAAATGAAGTATCACAAGAATGGAAAAATAAAAACCACATGGACTCACTACCAAATTGAAACTAATAGATCAATATTCGTGTGCACATATGGTAGTAAAATTCAACTGAAATCAAGCCAGAGGGCGGGAGGAGGAGGAGTGGATGTGAAAATTCACACCTAATGGGTACAATGCACACGATCTCAGGGATGGACACTATTAGCTTTGACTCAAACTGTACAAAAACAATTCAGGTAACAAAATGTTTGTACCCCATAATATTCTGAAACAAAAAAACCCCAAAATGTATTACTTTCATAACTCTACTTTTGTCAAACACTGGTACTCTCCAACATCTAGAAAGACTAGACATAAATGAGGGCTTCTTTGTCCTTCACACACACAAATAAATACAACAAAATACACGGACGAAGGAGCAATGGTTAATCTTTCTTCGTTGTAAGCACACTGGCATAGAACTCTTCCTTCTCCCCCCTCCTCCCCTGCACCCGTGCACTACTCCAGAGGGGACTGCCCATTGCCCCCCAAAAACGTTTCATGTGCATTTTAGCAAAAAGGTATTTACAAAATGTGTTACCTCCTCTACTTTCAACACTTATCAGGCACTTCGAACATCTAGAAAGATGAGATATTTCAAAAACCTACTTAGTTTTGTCAACTACCATGTTTCCCCGAACATAAGACAGGGTCTTATATTTATTTTTCCTTAAGAAGACACCCTAGGGCTTATTTTCAGGGGATGTGTTATTTTTCTTAAGTACTGTACAACAATCTACATTTATTCAAATTTAGTTACGTCGTCTTCTTCTGGAACATCATCATAACTCTCCAAACCCCGAATTCCATCCTGAATTTCTTGCGACTCTATTTCCTTTAGAACCATTGGCCCCAATCTCTCATGTCGAGCCATAGAGCTCTCATCAAATGAGCAGGGCTGGCTTATTTATCAGAGATGCAGTGAGCACCGGGTCCAGTCTGCACGGTGGAGCAGAAATGATCGCTCTGGGCTCAGTAGGGGACTGCTTGCTGAAGCTTTTCCCCTGTCCCCTGGTGTTCGTGGGGGGTGAGAGAGGCCCACAGTGCTGAGTAAAATGGCAGCCACAGCTTTCCTTCTTCCCCCTGGGGACACACAATACCTAAGCGTCCTGCTCCTCACTTCACTGAGTAGACTTTCCCCCCAAAGCCTCAGCTTGCAGCACGCACAGGATGGCCGGGACCTGACAGGGGGGAGCTGACCTTGTTGGTGGGGCTGCCCGCACCTTTCCGGTCACCTCTGGGATAGTAGCTGTCACGATGGGGCTGATGAGAAGGGCCGTTTGTCTTGTTTACTGCTCCGCAGTGAGATGCATGGGTTGTGCAGGTGCGCCGCGTAGCCACGCCCATCACTAGGTCTTATTTTCGGGGCAGGGCTTATACTGCACAAATGCTTAGAAATCCTGCTAGGGCTTGTTTTATGGGTAGGTCTTATTTTCAGGGCAACATGATATATATACAGTAGTGTGGGTGAAAATGCACACACAAAACAATGGTTATAATATGAAAATGTCTTCTAACGAGGACCAGTCTGGTAGACAATCTTCTCTTCCTTCCCAAGGTCTCCCACTTCATGTCCTCTGACCCATGGAACAGATGTGGGTGGGTGTCACTTCCAGAGCTGATCTAACAACTCCACTTTACAAACTTGTTTCCAGAGGACATTTTTTTCTATGATTTTCTCAAACAAATGGGCATTTACAAGATGTGTGATTTTCTAATTCTATCATATCTTGGTAACCTCTTTACATCTAGAAGGGCTAGATGTAGCAACCATTTGCTTTTAAAAGGTGGGGGGACGGCCGGGCGCTGTGGCTCACACCTGTAATCCTAGCTCTTGGGAGGCCGAGGCGGGCGGATTGCTCAAGGTCAGGAGTTCAAAACCAGCCTGAGCAAGAGCGAGACCCCGTCTCTACTATAAATAGAAAGAAATTAATTGGCCAACTGATATATATATAAAAAAAAAATTAGCCGGGCATGGTGGCGCATGCCTGTAGTCCCAGCTACTTGGGAGGCTGAGGCAGGAGGATCTCTTGAGCCCAGGAGTTTGAGGTTGCTGTGAGCTAGGCTGACAGCATGGCACTCACTCTAGCCTGGGCAACAAAGCGAGACTCTGTCTCAAAAAAAAAAAAAAAAAAAAAACAATAAAAGGTGGGGGGAAATGTCAAGAGCAGCTTTTTTATGTTATATACACGGGCATTCTAGAACCAGCCACTAAATCTTCCCAAAGGATTCTGGGCATTTCCAAATGGCCAAATGTGCTATGTTATTTCTCTCTTCTGATAGCAAGTCTGGAAGAACAAAGACCAACCGCCCAATGGCCGCTAGGATTCCACCCATTGTTGTCAGGGGCTCTGCCCACCTCCCAGCCTGTTAAGCCCTTTCTCTGCCATTATGCAGATTAAGAGAAAGTTTCACCCAATTGGGACAGAACAGTCACACCAGCGCTCACACCTGGACAGCTCCACGGCCCAAAGAAGTGACCAAGCTTGCATACTTAGACACACCTACTTGGGACCTTCAAACCCTAATGGCCCAGGCCAGGCGCGGTGGCTCACACCTGTAATCCTAGCACTCGGAGAGGCCGAGGCAGGCAGATTGCTCAAGGTCAGGAGTTCGAAACCAGGCTGAGCAAGAGCGAGACCCCGTCTCTACTATAAATAGAAAGAAATTAATTGGCCAACTAATATATATAAAAAAAATTAGCCAGGCATGGTGGCGCATGCCTGTAGTCCCAGCTACTTGGGAGGCTGAGGCAGCATGATTGCTTGAGCCCAGGAGTTTGAGGTTGCTGTGAGCTAGGCTGCCGCCATGGCACTCACTCTAGCCTGGGCAACAAAGCAAGACTCTATCTCAAAAAAAAAAAAACCCTAATGGCCCCTCATGGCATTCAGGTGACCACCATTCATCTTTTCTTGCAACACCTGCCGCCACACGTAGGCACCCTGTCCTGAGGCCTGGTGGGGACTTTACTTAGGTCAGGCAGAAGTGGCCCAGGAAACACAGTGGCCAGTGGAGTCCAGTGGCTATCACTGTCTTCAGGTTACTGAGGTGGACTTGGGAGAGATTTACCGCTGCTTCGATGCCTGGGCCCAGCCATTAGATGGCCACAGTGCAGGCTCGAAGCTTCTGCAGTTGAGAGGCTGTGGTGCATCCTGGGGCCCCCAGTTCTCCTGCAGGCCCAGAGGCAGAGAGCCCAGAGCTTGGAGGCTCAGAGAGTCCCACGGGAGCTGGCCACACTCCACATCTCACTGTGTTCTCTCTGGGATGTGGTTTTCTAATCATCCTGACAATGTATATCTTTTAAGTGAGGCATTTGGACCATGTTGATTCAATGTTAATATTGATACATGAGATGCTACACCAGTCATCATATTGACTTGCTACCTAGTTGCCGTGTTTTCTCCCTTGTGCTACTGTTTTATAAGAGTTGTGTACTTTTACTTTGGGTTGCTTTTACACTGGTGATTACCAAATGTTCTCTTCAATGTATACAGCACTTTGCAGGATTTCTTGTAAGGTGGGTCTGGTGGTGAAAACACTCCTCGGTGTTTGCTTGTCTGGAAAAGACTTTCTTTCTCACTTATTTATGAAACGCATGTTTGCAAGATACAAAACTCTTGACCGACACTTATTCTGTTTAAGACACAGATAGTACCCCATTGCCTTCTGTCTTATAAGGTTTTCTCAAAAAAGTCAGCTGTCAATCTGATGTATTTCCTTTGCAAGTTTCTTGATGGTTTTGTCTCTCAGCTTATAGGATTTTCTTCTTCACCTTGACATTCGCTAGTCTGGTGCTTACGGCTTGGAGATATCCTGTTCACAATGGATCTTCCAGGAGTTCAGTGGCCTCCTTGTGTGTGGATGTCCAAATCTCTAGCAAGATTAGTGAATCTTTTCTTCACTATTCCCTCAAACCGGTTTTCCATGATTTTCGCTTTTTCTTCTTCTCACTCATGGATACCTATGATTCTTATGTTCCGTCATCTTACATTTAGTCCCATAATTCTCAATGTCTTTGTTCATTGTTCTTGATTCTGTCTTCTTCACTTTTTATTGTAAAGGAAATAAATCTTTTATAATGTAAATAACTGTTCTCAGTAGAACTTTTTATATCCAGTTTACTACTTTTATATCCAGTTTACTACTTTTCTGAAATTCGGATATTCATATTAATTAGACAACACTCTCTATAAATCAAAGAATGTATGTCTGTGAAAACAAGTAATTCTTAATTGCAATAGTTTTCATAATTCATCTAAACACAATGGAGCACAGATGGCCAAAAGGAAAAATAAATACTTCAAATTATCAAAACAAAAGAGATATGAAAAAATAATATATTTAACAGCATGGAGGGAAAATTTCAGAATATAGATTCTGTTGAAAATAATGATATTCAAAAAAACAGCTTTAGACACACTGCCAAAATTTAGATTTTTCTCAATTAAAATCATAAATGTTGATTTTATTGTTGGAATATACATTAATTCTTTGAAGTCAGAATAAGAATTCTGCCTCAGCCTCCCAAGTAGTTGGGACTACAGGCATGTGCCACCATACCCGGCTAATTTTTCCTATATATTTTTAGTTGCCCAGATAATTTCTTTCTATTTTTAGTAGAGACGGGTCTTGCTCTTGCTCAAGCTGGTCTCGAATCCCTGAGCTCAAACAATCCTCCAGCCTCAGCCTCCCAGAGTACTAGAATTACAGGTGTGAGCCACCGCACCTGGCCCTGTCTTCTTCATTTTTGACTGACAAGATTATTCCAAAAGCCTTCTCTCCAAACTCTGAAATATTTTTCATCTGCATGGTCCAATCTATTATTTCTACTTTATTTTGTACTTACCTAATGATTCTTTCATTTCCACAAGTTCTGTCATGTTTTTCTTTAACTATCTCTTTAGTGAATTATTCACTCATGTCCTACATATTTTTTTTTTGACAGAGTCTCGCTTTGTTGCCCAGGCTAGAGTGAGTGCCATGGCATCAGCCTAGCTCACAGCAACCTCAAACTCCTGGGCTCAAGCAATCCTACTCCCTCAGCCTCCCGAGTAGCTGGGACTACAGGCATGCACCACCATGCCCGGCTAATTTTTTCTATATATATTAGTTGGCCAATTAATTTGTTTCTATTTATAGTAGAGACGGGTCTCGCTCTTGCTCAGCTGGTTTTGAACTCCTGACCTGGAGCAATCCACCCACCTCGGCCTCCCAGCGTGCTAGGATTACAGGCGTGAGCCACTCCGCCCAGCCCTTACAAATTTTTGTTGTTGTTTCTTGGTCTTGGTTTTTGAGTTTCTCATCAAGCCTATTGAGCTTACTTGTGACCCATATTTTAGATTCCATATATTGACATTTCATAAGTTTCCCTTTGGATGGAGTCCATTTCTGGAGAGCTGCTGTCATACAATCGTAGTATCAAAATAGGCTTTTTTTTCCCCATGTTCCCAGAGTTCTTATGCCCATTCCCTCTTATCTGGAATTTCTTCATTCTCTGCAAAACAGATAGCTTTGTGGGCTGCTTATTCTCATCTGCTGGGAACTCTATAGCTCAGTCAAGATGGGGAGAGGTACATTGCCTTTCAGTTCATGCCAGGAGGTACCTACCATGGTGTTGCTGACCATGTGGTCAGTAGGAACTCACACCCCTGGCAGGGTGTTCAAAGGCCAGTGGTGGTGGAATAGGATATGTATCCCCCAGCTCCCAGGCCGATGGATGGCACGATTGAGTCACACTCGGGAAGACTCATCATGCAGAAGTGTCCAGACCCAGTGTGAGCTTGCAACTCTGCTGTTCTCCTACAGCCCTCTGACCACCAGGGGCTTCCCCATTGCAAGCAGGTGCTGGGGATGTTTGTGTGTAGTGGTGGGGTGGGGGGAGGCTGGTCCCCAGAGCACTGCTGAAGGATAAGAAGGGTAAGAAGGACAGGTCCCTGTCTGGGGAGGAGGTCAGCCATAGGAGTTCACTCCTCCCTGGGGGAGGCAGCAGTGGCTTGGCAGGGCTGCTTAGGCGGCGGGCAAAGGTGCTGCAGTGGTGGATAGTTGCTCCAACTAGGTCCCCGGTGGCAGCCACAGTGCTCTTGGCCTGGGCCCTCGGAATGGTGCTGGCTGCGGTACCCAGGGTGGTTCAAAAGCCAACAGGACCCTGCCATTGCTCCTTCTCTCCAAAGCAAAGTGTCATTGCAGCTCCTGGGATCAGTGCAGACGTGGGGAGGCTGACGGGCCCTCCTGCCACTCAGGTCGCCATGTCCACGGGGGGGGGGGGGCAGTGTGGAGTCCCAGTCTTCTCTTGCTGACCATCTCCCACATGTGGGCACTTCCCCCGAGTAATTCCAGTCCCACCAAGCAGGCCACACTACTCCTGTCTCTTTCGGCTTGGGCGTCCCTCGTCGCTTCTCTGTTGGTTCCCAATGCTCCCTCTACACGAGCCAGGTGAGGTGGCATGTGCTCGCCACACGGCGCCCTCTATCTGAGCACAGGTGCAGGCTGTTCTAGGCCACCCCTGTCTCTCTCTTCTAAGGCACACCTGGGCGTCCACCGAGGGCCCACCCAGACCTTCCAGGATGACACCCCCTTCTCCATAGCCTTAATTTCTTCACATCGGCAACCTCTCTGTTCTCACAGACGGGAAGAGCCACAGGTACCTGGGGTTACAGTCACCGAATGGGCATATTTGGGGGTCTCTACTCGGCCTGCCACACGGCCTCGCTCCTGCTGGCCAGAACCTGCAGTTTCTGCCCGCACAGGAGGGCCCAGTGTGAGGACAGCGTGTCCCAACGTCCTCTCTAAGGCCGTCCCGCCTCAAAGGCCCTCACACACGGGCGCCGGCCTCCTCCGCGCAGGCGCTCCACGCCCCGCGGGGCTCCGGCGGCGTGCGTTGGCGCCCCCTGGCGGACGCACCCATCAGGGCAGGCGAGCACCGGATAGAGTGACAAGAGACGCGCGTAATCTTCAAAATTTCTAACCGTCATATTGAAAATGTAAACAGAGAAAAAATAATTTAAATGGTCTACTTTATGGAACACAGTATATTCAAGACCGGGCGCAGTGGCTCACGCCTGTAATCCTACCGCTCTGGGAAGCTGAGGCGGGTGGATCGCTCGAGGTCAGGAGTTCGAAACCAGCCTGAGCAAGAGCAAGACCCCGTCTCTACTATAAATAGAAACAAATTAATTGGCCAACTAATATATATATATAAAATTAGCCGGGCATGGTGGCGCATGCCTGTAGTCCCAGCTACTCGGGAGGCTGAGGCAGCAGGATCGCTTGAGCCCAGGAGTTTGAGGTTGCTGTGAGCTAGGCTGACGCCACGGCACTCACTCTAGCCTGGGCAACAAAGCGAGACTCTGTCTCAAAAAACAAAACAAAACAAAACAAAAACAGTATATTCATAAGACATTCATCATGTGACCAATGAAAAAAGTCAGTTATTTTACATTCTTATTTTCATATTAGGCCTTTGAAATTTTATGTGTATTTTACACCTGTAGCACCTGTGAATTCAGACCAGCCACATTTCAAATGCTGGAAGGCCACGCAGGTGAGTGTCGACTGTAATGGAAGTTTGGGTGGGAGAGAGAGGGGGAGACTGATGTGGGGACTCTTGAGAATGAGCCGAGGGGAGGGCCCGGACCAGGGGCAGGTAGTGATGGGCGCGGGGCCTGGCTGCGCACACCCGGCCCTGGTCTGGCTGCAGTGCCCGGTTCTCTGGATGGACAGAGGGTTGGGAGTGGTGACAATCACACACCCTGGGTTCTCCCTCTGAACAGCTTGTTTCCCACGAGCTTTTCCAGCCTCAGCTGCTTTGTAAAACAGTCTGGTAGCACCTTAAACCGTTCAAGATAGAGTTAATCATATGCTACCTCAATTCTAATCCTGGATATATGCCCCAGGGAAATGAAAACCTATCTCTCAAAAAAACTTGTACCTAGCAACGTTATTCGCAATGGCCAAAGAGTGGGAGCAACACAAAGATCCGTCAACTGGCGAATGAAAACAAAACGTGGCATATCTATGCAATGCAATGTTACACAGTCATGGCAATGAATGGAAAACTGTGCATGACACAACATAAATGAACCTTGAAAACCTTATGCGAAGAAGAGGTTGCCAGATACAAAGGGCTCACAGTTTATAATTCCACATATGAAATGGCCAAAATAGGCAAAATAGAAACCATTCTGTCCACAGAGACTGAACGTCCATAAGTTGGAGGGGTGGGAGAATTGATGGGGCGGTGAATGCAAGCTGTGGTAGAGAACTTTCTGGGATTGTGAAAATATTTAACAATTAGTTAGTAGTGATTGGCACAACCTTGTGAATATTCTTGAAGGATTGAAATGGTCCGTTGTATATGAGTGAGCTGCAAGGGTGCATGCCTGATGTTTTATCCTTAGCAAAGCAGGTAACAGTAAATCAGCAAGTGTGTGGTGTGCAACATCTATTTGAGAAATGCATTTCCTTTAAAACTTATGTAGGCTGGACGCGGTGGCTCACGCCTGTGATCCTAGCACTCTGGGAGCCCAAAGTGGGTGGATCGCTCAAGGTCAGGAGTTCGAAACCAGCCTGAGCAAGAGTGAGACCCCATCACTACTAAAAATAGAAAGAAATTAGTTGGACAACTAAAAATACATAGAAAAAAAATTAGCTGCTAGAAATAAATTTTTAAAAAGGAGAAAAAAATAAAATAAATTAAAAAAAATTAGCCGGGCATGATGGCGCATGGCTGTAGTCCCAGCTACTCAGGAGGCTGAGGCAGGAGGATTGCTTGAGCCCAGGAGTTTGAGGTTGCTGTGAGCTAGGCTGACGCCACGGCACTCTAGCCAGGGCAACAGACGGGGACTCTGCCTCAAAAAATAAATAAATAAATAAATAAATAAATAAAGCTTATCATGTAGGTGGAGCAGCAACAGACTGCACATGCGTGGGAGCAAGAACAGTATACCATCAACATTTTTCTCTCTAATTCAATATATTGCTTTTATTTTATCTTTTGACACAGGATCTCACTCAGTCATCCAGGATGGAGTGCAGTGATGTAACATAGCTCACTGTGGCATCCAGCCCTTGGGTTCAACTGGTCCTGCCACCTCATCTTGCTGCAGTATCTGGAACTACAGGTGTGCACCAATATGCTCAGCTAATTTTTTTTAATTTTTTGTAGAGACAGGATCTCACTGTGTAGCTCAGCCTGGTTCCAAACTCCTGGTCTGAGGCCGATCTCCTGTCTCCTCCTCTCAAAGTGCTGGGATAAGAGATATGAGCCACCACATCCAGTGCTGTAATCCTAGCACTCTGGGTGGCCAAGGCTGGAGGATCATTTGAGCTCAGGAGTTCAAGACCAGCCTGAGCAAGAGCCAGACCCCCGGATCTACTAAACATAGAAAGAAATTAGCGGGACAACTAAATATGTGTATGTATATATATATATATATTAGCTGGACATGGTGACGAATGCCTGTAGTCCCAGCTACTCGGGAGACTGAGGCAGGAGGATCGCTTGAGGCCAGGAGTCTGAGGTTGCTGTGAGCTATCCTGACACCACAGCACTCTAGCACAGGCAACAGAGCAAGACTCTGTCTCAAAAAAATAAAATAAAATAAAAGCAAGATGCATGCATCTGCTCAAGATGGACATTACTAAACTCAGTGCTCACCGTGGAAACTGCTCCCATTAGCCCCTGTTCCCTGCCCCCACACCCACCCTGCATTTCACACCTTCCCCAAGGACACGATCCCAGAACCGTTTCCAGCAAGACTCTCCTAAGCTTATCCTTCCACCTGCCTTGATCACCAAATGCGCCCAGCTGAAGCCCCTGCATCCATGGTTCCCTATCCATCCTCCATTCCTCCTGCCTCTCCAGCCTCCCGACCTCACCACATTCTCTGATCTCTGTCGCTGTGTGATCCTTCCCATGGCCCCTGTGGGCCTGGTCATCTGGTGTTTCCTCTGGAACCCATGTCAGCACATTATCTGTGTCTTTAGGAATCTTATCCTTCCCTCGTGTCCCCATCTCACCCTTCACACCACTGAACGTGGACGAAGGGCACCCTCAGCTTCACTGCACCGGCTCCGTTGCTCTTCCCTTAACAGGTGGGGCCGCCCCACCCAGAGTCCTCAGCCCCAACCCAGAGCCACTGCCCCTATAAAACCCTGTTCCATGGTGACACTCTAGAAACCCAATCACATGTAACACCCCTAATTCCCACTCAAGCTCTAAAATTCCTCAGCCCCAGTCAGTCCGATCCTCCCGGGCCACACCTCCCTGCCCACCTCTGCGTCAGCACCCCACCTCGTGGGCAGGTCCCAGACCAGTAGGTAGGTCCCAGAGGACCCAGACCAGACCCGACGTGAGTAGCCACAAAAGCAACACAACTCAGATGCGAAATTCTACATCTTGATTCTCATATCGTGTGTGTGGACTCTCTGTAGGAAACACGTGCTGTCTTTGGGAAGAAAACATCAAAAGCAAGGAGGTGAGGACACAAATGTCTGCCTTGAGGAGGAAGCCAGGCTAGCTGCTGAGTCTCGTCCCTGGTGTGGCCATTCGGGGATGAGACCGGCCAAGATCTGTGTGTCCACTAGGTGGCGCCCGTCCACACCGCTGCCAGGCGAGGCCATTCAGGGCTGACAGCAGCCAAGATCTGTGTGTCCACTAGGTGGCGCCCGTCCACACCGCTGCCAGGCGAGGCCATTCAGGGCGGACAGCAGCCAAGATCTGTGTGTCCACTAGGTGGCGCCCGTCCACACCGCTGCCTTTTTAGGGACTTTCAGGTTTTACTTACAAGTAATTAGTGCAAGGTTGGTGCTCGGGACCACTAGGCCCATGAGCTTTTCAGGGTACATCGTTGCCATCGAAAGTAAAGCCTTTTTGCCACAGAAAGGAAATGTCACAGCTCGCAGGAAGTACTACTCCCCAGATATTGGGCAGTGGGGCTTAGTCTGTCAACTACGCAGGTACAGAAGTGTCAATGTGTGGCATCTTCCTATACAAAATCTGTGACAAAACTCTCCTTTTCAGGCCTGTGTACTTGATCCTGGTAAAGTCTTGTCCCCTTGGTCAGACCTCCTTGAGCTCCCTGAGCCCGACGCGAGGCTCCCGCTGCCCCTCCCCACCTCTGACAATTGCACCGTTGACCAGCAGGGCCGCCTGTCACGTTGGAAGGTGGCGAGGAGGCACTGACAATGGCGGGGGTTGCTGCGTCACATGCTCATTGGCCACCACCAGGTGGCGTGACGTTAGGAACATCACATCCTCCTTGGACAGGAGCACTTCCTCTTGGAGTGACATGAGTTGAGTCACTTTCACTCGTTCCTTCTAGAAAAGGAACCACACTCCAGGAATAGAGTCCTAACGTAACTCGGACTGAAACTAACAGAACCCTGTTATGTTTTCCATGGACTCCCTTATTTCATTCACAAAGATCCAGGCCAGGAAAACTGTCATGGAAAACGTGGCTGATTATCTTGTGGATAAGGTGAAGAAATTCCTAACAGATCGATTCATGACACATGCAGTGGAACACGCAATGATAACCTTAACCCGATTTCTACATTTCTAATCAAACGATACTCCGGTATGTACTGAACATGACAGTTTTACTTGCATACCATAGGTGGGACGTGAAACGTTTCCCACGTAAGCTCACATATTTTCTCAATAAGATGCATTCTCCTTTTTTTTTTTTTTTTTTGTCCGTTTCTTTTGCTGCGACAGTGGGTCCAGTTGTCACCTGTGCTGTATGTATCAAGCTCTGTAAACTTATATCTTGCTCTATATTCCTGTCTTTCTCTCTCCTCAATAAATCTCATTTCTGTGCTTCCAGAAAAAAAAAAAAAAAGAAGAAGATGATGAATCCAAAAGCAACACAAGTGATTGTGGTGTCATTTCTACATACACATCCAGCACGGTCTCAGCACGATCATCTGGAAATCTTAAGAGGCAACGTCACATATTACTATTGAAAAAATGATGCCTCCCTGGAAAATTTAGGGCAATGATTGTGAATGTGTTGCTAATTGTAAATGCTGCACGTATTATGGTAACGTCTGCAGAAGGAAAAAGAGATTCCTGTTTTCTTTCCTGAACTGCCCACGTTCCTGTGACATCATCCACAATCGCCAGGAAAGCTCCATCAGGTCGCCTGCATTGCGTCAGCACCTCCTCCTCCTCCCTGGAAGGGATTCTTGCGGATCTGCACTCTCTCGTTGCCCACCCGTCCCTACATCAGCACGATCCTGGTATCAAGCACTCCTGGACTCCAAGATTTCAATTTGCACACACCCACACTTACGAAATTTTGAAATTAAAGAAATAAAGTGGCCGGGCGCGGTGGCTCACGCCTGTAATCCTAGCTCTCTGGGAGGCGGGCGGATTGCTCGAGGTCAGGAGTTCGAAACCAGCCTGAGCAAGAGCGAGACCCGTCCTACTATAAAAAAAAGAAATGGCACAACTAATTATACCAAAAAAATTTAGCCGGGATCTATTGGTGGCACATGCCTGAGTCCCAGCACTTGGTGGAGCTGAGGCAGGAGGATCCCTTGAAGCCGCAGTAATTTGAGGTTGCTGTGAGCTATGGCTGACGCCACGGCACTCACTCGTAGCCTGGCGACAAAAGCGAGAACTCTGTCTCAAAAAAAAAAAAAAAAAAGAAATAAAGTGAGATTTAGCTGGACTGAGGTCTCATGTGTGTTTCTGTGCCCACCACCTGCTCGTGCTGGGCTGAGTCTCTGGCCTGTATTTGGGGAGGGGGGGTTTCAATGTGGAGGCAGGTGTGAGACGGGGGGGGAGAAGATCAATACGGGTCTGGGGAGCTGAGGGCTGGGAGACTGCTGGGTGTAGGGAAAGGGGAAGATTCCGAGGGTGAAATCCCATAGTCTTGTCCTGTGGATGTTTGAGAACCTGCAGCTGAGAAGGGGAAGCTCCAGGGGGGAACGAGGACAGGCCTGGTGCCCTGGGGGCTCCTCCTAAGTGAGGGGAGGAACCCTATGCAGATCAGAGTGGAAATGGCCCTTTGAAGACAGGGGTCAGACAATACAAAGGACTCCCCCCATCAGTCTACTTGGGGTGGGAAGCCTTCAAGGGACAAATTTTGCTGGTGTCACAAAAAAGGCGAAGCTCTGAAACCACAAAGAATTCCCTGGCAGTGTAAAAGCAACCTTGGACGGGCCCTGAATACTTCGACATCTTCCGGGTCCCAGGTGCCGCCCGCCTTCCTCTCTATCAGACTCCGGGGGCTCTGCACTGTCCAGTGTCGTCCACACTCTGGGCCCCTCGCTCCCTGGACTCCAGGCTCTGGGTATCCCCCCGCCCACACTCGCTGTCTCCACTCTTCTGGGCTAGGCGCTCTCCGAGGGCTTCTGGGCCCTGGGGCTCCTCCCTGTCCCCCTCCCATGCTCCTATGTGGCCTCCGCTGGGGTCTAACTAATTTTCATTCACTAACAAATCTCCTGGGAGTCCTCCTACAGGACGGGGGGGGGGGGTTGCCCCCACCCATTATTGCGATGTTATAACCACCCCGCCCAAAGGCCTCTTTGAGACCATGCTGCTCAAACAGAGATCTCTCCTTGGGCAGAGCTGGACACTGGAGAACACCGGCCCTCCCTCTGCAAACCTCCATCCCCGTCTCTACTCTCCACCCTTCCCCCAGGTGGGTGGCCAGACCCCTCCTCTGCCCAGACGCCTCCCTGCTCAAACTCCCTCCCTCTCCTGAAAGACTTGCAGCCTCGGCCCCACCTGCCCCCCACCCTATGGCTGACTTCTCTCTCCTCGTGCCTGTGACTTCTTCCTTCCGTGGGATTCTCACCTTTCTGGTAACTTCATCCCTTGTGTCACGACCCATGCTGCCCCTTTACTGGGACCCCCTGCACTCACCCTCTGGCTCCTGAAGCCCAGCAGGTTTGAGTCTAGACGTTTGCAGTGAGGACAAGGGAGGGTGGGGCTCAGGCAGAGGAGAGATGGGAGGTTGTATACAAATGACTGTTGCCTCTTTGTCTTTTCCTGCCTGTATCACATTCTTATAGCTGTTGCAGCGAGTGACCACAACGTTGTGGCTGAAAACAACACAAATTGATTTTCTTATGGCTTTGGAGTCAGGGGTCTAAAGTCCAGGTGTTGCAGGGCTGTGTAGGTCCTGGGGGCTTCAGGGAAGGGTCGCAGGTTCCAGGGATAAGACACGGGTATCTTTGGGGGTCACTGTCCAGCCAGCGCACCGCCTCCCTCCTGCTAAGCAGAACTTGCAGCTTCTCCCCCCATAGGAGGGCCCAGTGTGGGAACAACGTGTCTCGACGCCCTCTGTAAGGCCCTCCTTCCTCAAAGGGCCTCACACTCGGGTCCCATGTCCGGGCTCTTCCTTCCCTGGTGGCGCTGCAGGGGCGTGCGTTTGGCGCCACCTGGTGGACACAGCGCATCACAGCAGGTGAGCGCCCGACAGACGTACACCCCAGCCAAGACCCATTTGTAATTTTTACATTTTCTAATAGCCATATTAGAAAACTTTAAGAAACAGGTGAAAATAATTTCAGTGATATATATTATTTACAAAAATATGTTGAATACGGTATCAATTAAACATGTAATTAACAAAAAAAAAGTAATGAGTTCTTTTGCATTCCTTTTTTTCATACCGAGGCTTTGAAATCCTGCGTGGATTCACTCTTGCAGCGGCTCCTAATGCAGACCAGCCACATGTCAAGCGCTCAAGACCCAGTCAACGGTGAGTGGCTACTGTAGAGGACAGCACGACTCTAGAAGTCTGGGGGGAAGGTGGGGAACAGAGGTGGGGGCTCTGAGAAGGACCCTGGGGGAGGGGGCCTCGAGGAGGGTGTGGCTGGTGACCAGGGATGGCCTGGCTGTGCGCACCTGACCTCAGTCTGGCCCCGCTGCCAGGTCCTCTGATTTCTGTCTCTTATTGCTTCCTTTATTTTCTTTCCTTAGTATACCCTGTATTTGGACAGCGCCTAGCACATAGCAAGCGCTCAGTAAATATCGTGGAGTGGAACGCAAAGCATAGCCCCATGGCAGAGTCCCAGGCCCTGGCCCCCAGCCTCTGACGTCCCTTACCATCCGGCTGTTCTAAGTGTTGATGAGGAAATGGAGACACTGGAACCCTTGCGTGTCGCTGGAAGGAATGTAAAACGATGCAGCCATCATAGAAAACAGTATAATAGCTCTTCAAAATATTAAACACAAAATTATCACATGGATTCAGCAATTCCACTTCCAGGTATATATACTAAAGAATTGAAAGCCAGGACTTTAACAGATATTTGCACACATATTTGCACACATTCATAGCAGTGTTGTTCCCAATGGACAAGAAAAGACAGAAGGAACCCAAGTGTCCCCCGACAGATGAAATGGACACATACAATGTGGAATAGCCACGATACACTGGAATACTATTCAGCCATAAAAAGGGATGCAATACTGACACATACTACAACACAGATGAACCTTCTTTTGTAATTTTTCTTTTTTTATGAATGGGGGTAGCCTCCATTCTACAAAATAGAATGTGAGCTCTCCCCATAGATGAACCGTGTAGACATTACGCTAAGTGAAATGCCCCAGACACAAAAGGACAAATATTATAGAATTCCACCTATATTCGGTACCTAGAGTAGGCAGTTATATAAAAACAGAAATTCGAATGGTGGTTGTCCAGGGCTTGGGGGGAGGGGAATGGAGTGTTATTGTTTAGCAGGTATAGAGTTTCAGAACTCATGCAAAGAGTTCTTAGTTGGGTGGTGATGGTTACACACCAGTGTGAATGTACTTAATGTCAATGAACCATACACCTAAAAACGGTTAAAATGGTCAATTTTTTTTTTTTTTTTTTGAGACAGAGTCTCGCTTTGTTGCCCAGGCTAGAGTGAGTGCCGTGGCGTCAGCCTAGCTCACAGCAACCTCAAACTCCTGGGCTCAAGCGATCCTCCTGCCTCAGCCTCCCGGGTAGCTGGGACTACAGGCATGCGCCACCATGCCCGGCTAATTTTTTATATATATATCAGTTGGCCAATTAATTTCTTTCTATTTATAGTAGAGACGGGGTCTCGCTCTTGCTCAGGCTGGTTTTGAACTCCTGACCTTGAGCAATCCTCCCGCCTCGGCCTCCCAAGAGCTAGGATTACAGGCGTGAGCCACAGCGCCCGGCCTTAAAATGGTCAATTTTATGTTACGTATATTTGACTACAATAAAAAATTACCAAATAGCCAGGTGAAATTAATTTTAGTAATATTTTATTTATACCACTCGAAATGTTATTTCAACAAAGAATTAGTCTCAAAAGCTACTGAGATGTTTTTATATTCTTTTTAGCATAGTAAGCCTCTAAAATCTGGTGTGTATTTAATGATCACAGCACATCTCAATTCAGACTCTTCACGTTTCAATAGCCACGTGCAGCTAGTGGCAACCACACTGGACAGCATCGATCTATAATCTTGTCTGCAAGCATCTCTGTCACATTTGCAAAGACCCACGTCTCCTCAGCAATGTGCACAAAGTTCATGTGCAAATGCACCTGCAGCTTCTCTGCAACCTCCCACGTCATCTGCAAACACACCTCCAGCTCACAGCCCAATGCCTACGTCTCGCTGCAGACATCTTCAGAGAAAGCACTTGCTCAAACAGCATGCTTGATTCCGAATCTGATTTGTCCTGCAAATATCCCCGCTCTTTTGCCTACATGTGCATCTTATTTGTGTATCACTCTAAAAGCACACTTGGGAGAGCCTCAGATGGTCATCTCAAAGTCAGGGGGGCCTGGGGCTGGGCAGAAGGCCCCCAAGTGTTCTTCCTCCTGCTTCCTCTGGGGTTCTTCATCCTCCTCCTCCTCCTCTTCCTCACAGCTGTCCTCCTCCTCTTCCAGGATGGCAACCAGATCCTCGTGAAGCGCCTTCATCTGCAGCCCCAAGCTGCACAGCTGGCCCAGCAGCTGGACATCTGCTTGGCGCAGCTTGCCCTGCCAGTGGAAAGGGTGTGTCACACGCACGCTACCCCAGAGGGCAAGGGGTGCCTCCAGGGCCCGGGTGAGAGCAGATCCCAGCTCAAATCCCAGCTCGCGACACTTGGGCAGGGTCTTCACTCTGCCCGGGGACCCTTAACTGCCATCCTGCTTCTCAGAGCATCTCTACCTCTGTCTCTGTCGGTCTCCGTCCTTGTGTGTATCTATGTCTTTCCATGTCCCTGTCTCTGTGTTCTGTGTTTCTGTTTCCCCATTTCTCTGTTCTGGGCTTTGGCTGTTGCCGTCACTCTCTTTCTTAGATTCAGCTGAAATCTGTCTCTGTTCCTGCTCTCAGTTTCTGTTTCGGTCTTTCCACCTCTGTCTCTTCCTTTTGGGGTCTCTATCTCTATTCCTGCTCTCACTCTGTCTTTGCCTCTATTTATCTCTTGCTGTCACTCAGATTTTGTCTTTCCATCTCTAGCCCTTTCTATTTTTATTCATTCTCATTCATTCTCTTCCCCCCCACCCCCATCTCTTGGGTCTTCAAACCCCTCACTCACCAGCTCCTCCCAGATCTGCAGCAGACTCTCCCTGGCACCTCCAGTGTCTGTCCCTGGAGACATGCGGGTCTGGCCAGGGCTCTGCACTGGGGAGACCCCCCTCAGGGCCCGTGGGGGTGGGCCCAGCCAGGGAGGCACCAGTCCAGCCTCCCTCAGCTGCCTCCACAGCTCCATGGGCTCAGAGCAGTGGCTGTCAGGAGCAGGAAGTAGCAAGGTCTGGGGTGGCCCAGTCCCCTGGGGATCTGGCGGGAGGAAGGGAATAAAGGGCAACTGGGAGGGCTGAGGCTGCTGCAGAGGCATCCCAAAGTCCATTCTTCGCAGAGAATCAACTGGCCTCGTGTTTTTGTTTTGTGTCTTTCCTTCTGAAGTCTAACCTTAACTCTGCTCACAAGGATCTAAACACCACCTCCCTTGCAGAGGTCAAACTCCACCCCTCGCTGAGCACTCCACGTTGCTCAGTGTCTGTTGATGCCTGGCCCCATCTGTCCTGCCCCTCCCACCTCTCAGCCTCTCCTCAGCCTCCTCTGACCTGTGGCTTGCCCAAAGCTTGGTCCTTGCCTGTCCTCTCAGCTCAGGCCATCCCAGACCTTCCCCACCAGTGTTGCCTGAGGGGGCGGGAGTGGCTTCCAGGGGCCTCAGTGTCCAGGCTGCCGGCCTATGGCTGACCCACCGATGCTGCCGACCCTGGACTTGCCTGTGGTTATTTCACTGTCAGGGAGAGCCCCGCTGTAGAAAAGGTTGGACAGCACTGCAGGCCTTCCTCGGCCTTGAACCCCTCTCTCAGGCCCAAGCTGTTAAAATTTCACGAATATGTCACTGGCTCCCAAGTCTCTGACTACAATCCTGACCTCCCTCCTGAGCTCCAGACCTGGACTCAGCAGCCCCATCTGGATGTCGCAGCCAAGGTCAATATGATCAAAATGGAACTCTCAGTTTGGACCTACCCCATTGGAATCATTTCCTAATGCTGCTACAACAAATAACCACACTCCTGCTGGCTTAAATCAACACAGTTATTCTCCCTGACCTGCTGCTCTCCCAGTTTCCCCATCTCCACTATCCTTTTAGTTTTTCAAGCTGTTGACTTAACCTTCAACAAAGATCCAGAATCCGAGCACTTCTCACCATTTCCACTGCTCCATCGCTAATCCTGTCCCGGTCATCTCTTGCCAGGACTATTGCAGTAGCCCCTCTACTGGTCCCCTGCATCTACCCTTGCCCTCTAAGGTACATCCTCCACCTGGCAGAAATGGTCTTTACAAAATGTCAATCAGATTTTGACTCCACCCACTCGACCTTCCCTTGCCTGACCCTGGTTTTATTAATTAAATGACACAGTTTTTCAGCCACCTTATTCCTTATTTTAAGGAGGTAGTAGTGAGAGCTGGAGGAGCAAGGAAGCTCAGGGAGAATGCAATTGCACTCTGAGGAAACAAAGAAACTCTAGAACGAAGGATAACCCATACTCCCAGGGAAAGACTTCAGAGTCCTGTTTTAAAGCCCATGGCGCTCTGAGTAACTCCCAAACCCGAGAAGAGTTAAAAAGTGCGTGCTCCTTTAAGAGGAGAATTAGAAGGCAGAGGGGCGTGGCTACAGAAGAAGGCGTTCGCGACCGGCCCCTGCCGATGACGCAACGCTAGCAATATGGCGGCGCCCAGGACGGTAGGTGACCGGAGCTCCTAGAGTCCCCCAAATTGAAGTTCTGTCTGCAGCCGTTGCCCTTAGGGGCTCTGCGGGCTGCATAGAGAGCAAAGGGCCTTGAGGCAGCAGGAGTTTCTTCTGCTGAGCCCCGCACTGGCAACGTAGACCTGTGATTGCTGAGGGCTGGAAAGGATCCGAGGGGGTCAAGGGCGTTGGAAGAGCTACAGCGGGCGGTATGGGGCGGGGATTTGGCGTAGAGAATCCTATGGGGATGAGAGTACGTTTTGAAGAGCGACGCGTTTAGCCAATCAGAGGAAGGGATACGACTGCGCGCACGAGGAGCCAATGAGCAGGTGGGGTTGGGACCTAGAGAAAAAGAGGATTCGGAAGAGATTGGCTGAAAATCTGAGATTGAATCCTAGCGGAGAAGGTAAAATGTAAGGGAGTTTAAGGAATTTTTTTTTTTTGAGACAGAGTCTCACTCTGTTGCCCGGGTTAGAGTGCCGTGGCGTCAGCCTAGCTCACAGCAACCTCAAATTCCCGGGCTCAAGCAGTCCTTCTGCCTCAGCCTCCCGAGTAGCTGGGACTACAGGCATGCGCCACCGGGACTACAGGCATGCGCCACCAAGCCCGGCTAATATTTTTTCCTATGTGTTTTTAGTTGTCCAATTAATTTCTTTCTATTTTTAGTAGAGACGGGGTCTTGCTCTTGCTCAGGCTGGTTTCGAACTCCTGACATCCAGTGATCCGCCCGCCTCAGCCTCCCAGAGTGTTAGGATTACAGGCGTTAGCCACCGCGCCCGGCTAGTTTAAGGAATTTTTCTAGAAAACCAAACGTATGATGGAGGTTGGAAGGTGGTCAGTAGGTGAATTTGGTAGTTCTAAGGGAAGGATCTGGGAGAGATTAAGGAGAGAATTTGCAATATTTCTATAAGAGGATTTAAGAAGAATTGGGTAAAATCAAGGAATATAAATTTAGTGAAAATTAAAGAAAGAGGTTTGGAGCTTAAGAATTTTGAAAGAAAGTAAGACTTTGGGCAACCACCGGCGCCCCAGATGGGGAAAGAGGTGGCGGCTGCCGTCCGCTGGCCACGCACGCCTAGTACCTCAGGGACAGGAACTTGGTTGTATTGTCCTATATCAGAGAACAAACTCACCTGGGCCTACCCTGGGTTGCTGGTTGCTGCCTTTGAAAACAAGGAAAGGTCGGTAGAATATCAACCACAGCATGGTATTTCCAGAGAGGTCTTATTTCAAAACTTCATAAAGAACGAGAACCACATGAATCTCTGCGAAAGAGATTGAACTGGCCTGAGTTTGAGAGAAGGGATAATGTGTGCCCAACCTATAACTAACACCAAGGAAGTCAAGTGGCAGAAGGTCTTGTATGAGCGACAGCCTTTCCCTGATAACTATGTGGACCAGTGGTTCCTGGAAGAACTCAGGAAAAAAACATCCATGCCCGGAAATACCAGTATTGGGCTGTAGTATTTGAGTCTAGTGTAGTAGTACAGCAGTTGTGCAGTGTCTGTGTTTTTGTGGTTATCTGGTGGTATATGGATGAAGGTCTTCTGGCCCCCCACTGGCTTTTTGGGACTGGCCTGGCTTCTTCACTGATTGGGTATGTTTTGTTTGATCTTGTTGATTGAGGTGAAAGATGGAAGAAGAATGGGCGGACCCGGTGGGTTGATCTGAAGGGTGCTCTAGTGTTCATTACTTTCACTTACGGCTTTTCGCCAGTGCTGAAGACCTTGACAGAATCTGTCAGCACTGACACCATCTATGCCATGTCAGTCCTCATGCTTTTAGGCCACCTCATCTTCTTTAACTATGGTGCCAATGCTGCCATTGTGTCCAGCACACTGTCCTTGAACGTGGCCATCTTTGCTTCTGTCTGCCTGGCCTCACGCCTTCCCCGGTCGCTGCATGCCTTCATCATGGTGACCTTTGCCATCCAGATATTTTCCCTGTGGCCCATGTTACAGAAGAAACTGAAGGCATGTACTCCCCGCTGCTATGTGGAGGTCACTCTGCTTTTTGCATTTTCAGCCCTGGGAGGCCTGCTGTCCATTAGTGTTGTGGGAGCCATACTGTTTTCCCTTCTGCTGGTTTCCATCTCATGTCTCTGTCCTTACTACCTCATTCGCCTGGCAGCTTTTTAAAGAAAACATTCATGGACCTTGGGATAAAGCTGAAATCAAAGAAGACTTGTCCAGATTCCTCAGCTGAGTTAGGAACCTCCATCACATTTTTAAGGCAAACCGATAGACTAGCCTCCTAAGTAGTAAAAAAATTTGAAGACAGAGTTCCATTCTGGAAGCAGCATGCTGGTGTGGGTGAGCGAACAGAGATTAAAAGAAAAAAAATAACCAAATGCTTGGGCAGTGAAGGTTCTTATCCTTTCTGTTATTTTGTGGATGAAAAAGCTTTCTGGGGCCCTCTTGAATTATTGCCTCTCATTCATTATTCGCAGTAACAAATGACGTAATCTGGTTTCTATTTAAAAAATAACAACACACACACACAAAAATAAAGACTTTGGGCAAAATTATCGAGAGATTTGAGAAAAACAGGAGAATTTTGTTAAAGCAAAGAGAAACTGGGGCAGATTAAGAGGTGACCTTGACATTGAAATTGAACTGGCCCTGCAGCTAGGAAGTCTTGTGTTTAGGCCTGGGCATCTGACTTATTCAGTTATACTTTCAATGATCTTTTGTGCATCTGTAAAAGCAAAACAGAGAAACTCACAATGTAATAAATAGTGCTCTTTCCCACACACACACACAAAAAGTGAAATTAAAGATTTCCTCCCTGTGATCACGCCTTACCATTTTTCTAACCTCCTCTTAGAGGGGCTTGCATTCTTTTTATTCTTCTCAGTGTAGGGATTGCTCTGAATGTGGTCTTCATGGTAAATTCTCTGCATGGTTTGGACAGAAATTAAGATTATATTTGGGGGAAAGAAATAGGTCATTCAGAAAGACCCTGGGAGAGGGCCGGGCGAGGTGGCTCACGCCTGTAATCCTAGCACTCTGGGAGGCTGAGGCGGGCGGATTGCTCAAGGTCAGGAGTTCAAAACCAGCCTGAGCAAGAGCAAGACCCCGTCTCTACCAAAAATAGAAAGAAGTTAATTGGACAGCTAAAAATATACAGAAAAAATTAGCCGGGCATGGTGGTGCATGCCTGTAGTCCGCTACTCGGGAGGCTGAGGCAGGAGGATCGCTTGAGCCCAGGAGTTTGAGGTTGCTGTGCATTAGGCTAACGCCATGGCACTCACTCTAGCCTGGGCAAGAGAGTGAGACTCTGTCTCAAAAAAAAAAAAAAGACCCTGGGAGAATAATTCGGTAAAATTAAGGGGTGAATTTGTGGGAAATTAAAAGTGAGATAATGGAGGTTTTAAGAAACCTCCTTAGACTTGGGGGAAAATTTAAGAAAATCAAGAATATTTGTTTATATATAGAAAAGAAAAAAAATTTGGCTAAATCAAGGGAGAATTTAGATTAAGGGGAAGAACTTAAGAAAAACATGGAGAAATTGCTGGTATCCCTAAGAATTTAGAAGTTCTGAAAGGAGAACTTAGAGAAAGTCAGTAAGCAGGGGGGTTGAGGTTTATGGAGCAGGAATCGGGGGATCCAAGCTCAGCTCCTCCTTTCCTCTCCCCCACCCCAGTCCCTGCGCCTGGTGGCAGCCATATGGAGTACCAGGGGCATCCACGGCCGGGGCGGGGCAGCGACTCCAGAGGGCAGTCAGAAGAAGGGAAAAACACTGCTCCAGTTCCTGTCTGACCGCTTCTATGATGTGGAGTTTCTGAGGGAGTACTTCCTCCAAAGGCAGATGTTGAAAGTGCACCAGAAAAATCGGTGAGAACCCCTAGCCTGCAAGACGATGAGGAGACCTACTGCCCGGGCTTCACCGAAGCCCAGATACTGCCCTTACCACCTTGGCTTCTAATGCCAGCCTTGCAACTCTTGCACCTTCCTCTCCATCCAGCCCACACCTTCTCAAGAACTCCAGTTCATATAAACGACTTGCTACCCACCAACTCCACTTGGGGTATAGTGAGCATCTCAAACCCTGATTTCTCCCTAAAAAACAATCTGCTCACCGTTAAGCCTTCCCTATCCCAGTAACCAGTACCTCTGCCCACCCAGTTGTTTGCGCCAGATTTTCTGGGGTCATCCCTGATTCCTCTCTCTGCCCTCCATATCCGGTCCATCAATAAAATACTAGAATATCCCCAATTTGACCAGTTCTTACTGCCTTTACTGTTAGTAGCCTGGTCCAAGCCCCTTTGTTTTATGGTTGGATTATTGTAGTAATCTCCTAACTGCTTACCTTTCACCCCATGTACTCCATTATTGTCTACAAAGCAGTTAAAGGACTCCTAAGAAAGTAAAATATAACATTGCCACCCTCCTTAAAACCCTTGAGTGGTTTCCAATTGCAACTACAATATAAGCCAGTCTCTAAGGCCTAAAACCTGTCCCCTACTGAGCTTTGAGACCCCCTACCGGGAACTCCCCTCACCCTCGTCAGCATAGCATCCTTATTGCTGTTTGCTCAGCCATAATCCCAGCCCGCAAGCCTTTGCACTCTGTTCCTTCTCACCACTCAAATCTCTGATCGAATGTCACCTCATTGCCAGATGTAAGCTGTAATCCCAGCCACTCAGGAGGCTGAAGGGGGAAGATCCCTTGAAGCTAGGAGTTTGAGACCAGCTTGGGCAACATAGCTAGCTCGTCTCTAAAAAAAAAAAAAAAAATGTAATTAGCCAGGCATGGTGGCATGTGCCTGTAGTCCCCAGCTACAAGCGTGTATGTGTGCGCCTGTAGTCCCCAGGCTGATGCAGGAGGATCCCTCGAGCCCAAGAGTTCATGACCAGTTCATGTCACCTCCTCCAAGAAGCATTTCTTAACACCCGAACTGAATCAGCCTCTATGCCATCCCCACCCCTGAGCCAAGCCACTCCCAGTCAGCCCCTTTGCTTTATTTTGTCAGGGAATTGATACTCTCTGCAGTTTGCCACGGCTTCCTGGTTTGTTGTCTGTCTCCCTCTGTAAAATAGCTTGACAAAGGCAGGGATGTTCTCTGCCTTGGTCACCATTGTACCCCCAGTGCCCAGCACTTAATAGGCGCAATAAATATTTGCAGCCTGACTCAGTCTGTCTGTCTGCCTGGTGCTATGGACTCTGACCCTTCAAGCAGTGTTGGGGAGGGAGGTGGCGCTCCCCAGGCCTCACCCTCAGCTGCCATTTTCTCCTCAGATCGTTCACCCACATGGTGGAGCAATACGGCCCGTACATCGTAGGTGCCTGTTTCATCCTGGATCAAGGAGGCATGGTCAAGTATGACAGCTAAGGGGTTACAACGGGGGAGGGGGGAGGTGGCGGGGCATCTCTCACGCCCAGCCTCTGCAGTCAGACAGGCTTCACTGTGAGTCCCCTAGTCTCTGCTACCTGCTGGCTGTGTGGCTTGGGACTTCTTCTTGAGCTTCAGTTTTATCATCTGTGAAATGGGATGGTGATCATATCTAACCTGCAAGGTTTGCTATAAAGACGGAATGGGATTTTGCAATCTAAACATTTGCAACGAGGCCTGGCACAGTATAGGTGCTCAATGTTGATTTTTCTTTCTTTCCCCAAGGAGGGGGGAAGGATCTTCCCTTTCTCCTCCTCCCTTTTTTTATTTTTTTCTTCTTTTTTGAAAAACACAATTCACATAGACTTCATCTACCCCTCATCTTTGTTTTAATTGAAACTTCCATCAGGTTTGAGCACTTCCTCCAGCAGCTTCCTTCGATACAGTGTACATATGTGAAAATGTCCCTTAATTTTGTCCATCTATAGGGATTCTTGTGTTCTTGCGTCTACGTTCTTACGTTATTAGTGATCTGTCCCTCCTTCATTCTCCGGGTATGTAACATTGGCAAAACATTCCGTCTTTATTGAGACTGCCACAGGATCCAATAAGACCAGACATGAGAACACTTAGTCCAGGGCCTGCTGTGTAGGAAGCATACCAGACACAGCACAGTAACTTTATTAGATGAGGCTGGGGAGAATTCCTGGGAAGAATGGGGTACTCTGCTGACACTCCCTCTTTTCCTTTTCCAGGTTTCAGAACAATGACTGGATCGGGCCAAAAGAGCGAGGCCGTTTCGCTCTTGAGTTCTCAAAGTTCCAGGAGGTATCTGTAGAGGCCGTGGATGCCAGCGGCTGCGCCATCAACTACGAGGGCCTGGACAATCTCTGTGAGTGGGGTGTGGTCAGGTAGGATGGAGATGGGACAGGCCTGTGCATGCTCCCTTCGGTGGTGGCCTCCAGAGGGCTCTTGGTGCCATCCTGCCCTTTCCCCGCTGCAGTGCTCCTGAGGAATCTCCAGTCCTTGTCGCTGCGGCACTGCCCCCACGTGGACGACTGGTGTCTCTCTCGCCTCTACCCACTGGCCAGCTCGTTGCAGGAGCTCTCACTGGCCGGCTGCCCCCACATCTCCGAACGGGGCCTCGCCTGCCTCCACCACCTCCCGTAAGACCTCAGCCCAGGCTGGGCTTGAGCCAGGGCACCTCCTACACCACACACATCAGATGCAGGAGAGAAATTGGGGGTGGGAGGACGGGCGCTGTAGGGCAGTTTCCCGTAGCCCTCCCGCCTCCATCAAAACCTAGAAGTGTTCGTGGTGGGTAAGCACAGGGAGCAATTGCAGTGAGTCTCTGGGAGAATGAAATGACTCTAGGGATGCTTTTTTCTCTTTATTTTGATGAAATCCCATGATATTTACACTGTTGCAGAGCAGTCGGAGCAGGGGTGCCGGTCTGCAGTTAACATGGTGGATTTCATGTGCTTGGATGGCTATAAAGATTTGTTTTTATTTTAGGAAACTAGGGTGGGAATTGGGGCCAATCCCCCTCCCCCCCACACACACACACAGATGTCCTTACACTGGCTTCCTGCCCTTCTTGCCCCCTTCAGGAACCTCCGCAAGCTGGACATCTCAGATCTCCCCGCCGTGTCCAACCCAGGCCTCACCCAGATCTTGATGGAGGAGATGCTCCCCAACTGCGAGATTCTGGGGGCCAGCTGGGCCCAGGGCCTGAACGTGGAGCCGGAGGAACAGCCTCAGGACAAAGCCAGCCCCGTCCACGTGTAGCCTTCAGCCCCTCCCAACTCCATGGGGTGTCAGGGTGGCGTGTGGAATGTCTGATCGCCCGCCACACTTCTGGCTTCCAGCTGGGTCCAGCGTGGGAGTGGGGGTGTGGCACTGGCAGATGAGAGGGAAGGAGAGCGTGAGGTAGGGGTACTGATTGCTGGCAGTCCCTGGCTGCAGGTCACAGTTTCTGTCATGCTGTCAGGCAGCCCTTTCCACACACCTCTCCTTCCGCTGCCTCCTCAGGCTTGGGGAGGTGGAGGCTTGGGCTGTAAGTAGCCCCAGGAAGCTGTACGGTTTCCCCACACTCGGCCCACACCTTGTCAAGAGACTCTTCTCAAATTGTCCTCATTTGCGTGTGCCGCCCTTGCTTGCAGGGACCCTGGCTGATGCAGGGAGGTGCTACTGGCACTTGACAGGGATGGTTCTTCCCCGTGTGGGACTGTCCTTCTCACTGTAGGAGCTACAGCGACCTTGGCCCACACTAACTGAATCCCATCGTGTTTCCAGTTATTGGTTCATTGACTTTCGGCTCCAAATTCAACTTTTTTTGTCTGCTCTGTGCAATTGGATCTGTCTGGGCCTTTGAAATACACTTTTCCTTTGCTAACGAGCACGCCAGCCTTTGTCAGTAGAGGGCACTCTGGAGACGCTGCAGGAGGAAAGGAATCTCCTTCCTGGTTCCTGTTGCCTGTGCTCTGTCTGGGTGCTGCTCCGTGCCTGTGGCCTCCCCAGCACCCCGCTCCTGCAGTGCCAGATGGCCAGCAGCTGCCCCTGGCATCCTCCACCCCCACTGGGTCCACAGGGGGTACAGTGCCTCCACTGAGGCGCCTTTCTGTGAGCAACTGTCCCCAGCACCCCAGTTGGAGTTCCAGTCAATTAAGAGGCATTTTTGCCAGTAAATCCCTCATTATTCCAATTAAAGTCAATAATTTATATTAAACTTTCCCTGTTCAAGTTACTCTGGTTTTTCTCTCCTCATTGGACCCAGATGGACACAGAATTACTACCTGGAGTATCCCAGGAGATAGACTCAAAAGATGGGATTCACGGGTAGGTTTGGTTGTGCCTTTGGGCTTGTGCACAGTGCTGAGCTCTTGCTCATGGGAAAGGGGGTTCTAGAAACCCACGGCATGCAGTGGTATCTCAGTCCCGCTGCCATCTGTGGTTGACTGTGGTGAGGGGCCATCTGAAGCATGAGCCCTGGAAGCACCTGTGGCTTCTGTGCTTGACAGCTGAGGCATTAGCGACAGTTCTAAGGACCAGAGTGTTGGGTGGATCGTTTGGGGTCCCCTTGGGTGCTTACAAATAGACAGTGTTAAGCTCGGGTCTGTTAACTGACCTCAAGTCACAGTCTGAGAACCAGAGAGCTTTCATGAGAGCCCCAAAAGCTTTTACATCTCTGGAAGGAGGCTGTCTAGTTGGATGAAGAGTAAACAGGGAATCTTGAACCTCTAAGTCACTCTGAGCCTCCCTTACCAATGTTTGAGGAAACTCCCAGCTTCCTGTGCTTGGAAGCTTTGTGATGACCACACCGGGGTCAGACGCCTTGGAGGCGGGTGTCCATTCTTCTTAAGACTCACCACAAGTGTCCCCTGCTGCCCCTAGACCCAGAAATACCTAGGGTCAATCTCAGCTTGCTCCAGGGGGACAGGTGCCCACTAGGACTCAGGAGGGAGCAGCTTGTACACTAAAAGAATGACAAGACTTTGCAAATACATGTATGGTCAGAAACCTGGGAAATGTGTGCAGAAGCCGATCTTAGGTTCTTAGACCAGTAAGGGTGGACATAACACTAGCTCAGGCCAAATTTACCGGCATGAGTGCACTTAACTGGAGGTTCTAGACTTAATGGGTGACCTTGTGCCACTAGAAGTGGCTCTAATAGCTTACTCAGTTGGCAGACCCAAACTTGGACCCAGTGATGGCTTAGTTACTGAGGCCGAGACCAGAACTGACCTGACATAATATGGATGAGGGGAGGAATCCAAAGGCATAGGGAGACAGAAATGTTGCATTTGGCTGGCGCGTTCACGCCCCAGCTATATCCCCTAGGAAGGCAGCTCTTGCCAGCCAGTCCCTCATCACGCCAATCCCATGTTACAGTTCATCATTCTGTATGTTGAACTTTCCCCTGTTCCAATTGCTGTGTGATTTCTCTCTCCTGATTGGACACGGACTGATGGGCAAAGCAAACAGAACTGTATACTCAGACTTCCCAACCCCCACCCCAGCAAGGTCGATGCTACCCCTGCTCAAGAACCTCTGTGCCCCTTGGGTGAAGCTAGGTGAGCCAGGAGAGCTGTGGGGGCGCGGGAGGACTCCCAGCCCTGGGGTGAGGTGGGCTTGCAAACTCCCTCAGTGTTCAGGCCCCTGCCCCCAGCCCTGGCTGTCGTTTCCCACTCAGGCTGTTATTCCATTAGTGTTCATTACCTCCGCACCTCCCCCCCACTCTCTTCCTCCAGCTGTTCCCACGGGCTCCATTATTCCAACCTGGGGGAGGAAGTCTGGCTGGACAAATAAAAACTGCCGCTGGCAGCCTGGGTTCCTAAAATGATCTGGAGAGTCCCTCCCCACACCAGGGTGGAGTGACAGCCCAGGCTCAGTGGGGGGCCATCAGTCCCACTCCAGGTCCTGGGAGGTCCCCAGACAGCTGATGTAGCCCCAACAGCAGAGGCCTCTGGGGGATAGGGACGTAAACAGTCAGACACCCTCTCCTGTCCCAGGAGGGCCGGATGTGAGTGTTCCCTGTGAGTGTTCCCGGAGTCACAGCGCAGCCTGGGGAGAGGCTGAGCCCCAGGGCGAGGCTGGCTCTGGGGCTGCAGGGAAGGGGAGGGTGGGAGCAGATTCCCACCCTGCTGGGCAGGCAGCCCAGGCTCCAGAGGGGATGGAGGATGTGCTGGCTCAGCTTAGCCCCCGGGGCTCCCTGTCGCCCCACCCCTCACGTTCCCTCGCTCCCCCTCAGCTCCATTGCCCTGTGGCTCGGCTCCCCCTTCAACTTTTTCCGGCATGTTCCTGCTCCCCAGTGCCCTTCTCCACCTTTTCCAGGGGCTGACCCTGTGTTCTGAGTCCCTCTCCCTGCCCTCCACCTGCCTCTCTAAACCTCACCTTCTCCCCAGCACCCCACGGGGCCTCTATCTTTTTCACAGTCTCCATCTTCCTCTCTCTTCCCTAGCTCCCTCCATCTCCTGTCTCACCCGCTCTGCCCCTCCTCTCTGTGCTGCCTGCCTGAGGTCGCCTGGCTGCCTTCCCTCTCCAGGATGTCTCTGTCTCTCCTCCTCTTCACCCCGCACCCGACTCTGGGCAGCGACAACAGACATCCCTATCTCAGGCAGCCGTCCGTCCCCACTCAGCACATTCACTGCCGCCCCCCACCAACGCCTCCCTGCAAGGCCCAGCGCCAGCCCTTCGGCCTGTGGGGCTCGGCCTCCCCTGGTCACTCTGACACTCCCAGCCTATGCCCGGCCCTGGCCTCACCCTCCCCTGGACTCGCTCCCCAGGCCCTGGCTCTTCCCTCCCAGGCCTCGCAGGTTCCCCGTCTATCTCTGTGGCCTCCGCCTGCACCTTTCCTGCTGTCTCACCAGAAAACCAGCCCTAACACGCCAGAGCCAGAGCCCCATCTCCCAGGTCGGCCTCCTGCCCTCCTCCCTCCTTCCCTCCTGCCTCGGCCCCGCCCCGGCCCCTCCCGGCCCCTGGGGCCCTCCCTGCTCCCGCTACGCTCCCCTCCCCGCCCCTCTGGACAGGCTGGGCTGGGCCGGGCGGGTAGAACTCGCTGCCGCCGCACGGGCAGGAGCAGGACGGAGGGAGCTGAGGGAGGCCCTGACCAGAGGCCCGGCGGCGCTGGAGCTGGTGGGAGTCGGACCCAAAGGTAAAGCGGAGCCAGATCAGGGCTCCCCAACCCCTGGAGTGGGCATGTTGGCGGGAGGCAGACTGGGTTTCTAACAAGGTGGAAGGAACTAAGCCCAGCTAGCTAGGAATAAAGGGATTCTAGTTTCCTAGTGAGAAGGATGAATGAAGGGACAGAGGGAGGAAATAGGAAGGTGCAGGGGTCCTGGTCCCTTAGTCCTTGGGGTGGATCCCTCCTGGGCTTCTCCAAAGGTGGGATGGAATGAGAGTTGAAAGAATGGGCTCTGGAATGGGACTGGAATGGGGGATTCGGAGGTCTAGGGATAGGGAAATTTGGGTCCTTGGGTAAGACGAGCTTTTTAGGGTCTGGGACTGAGAGAAGCCATCACAAGGGTTGGCAGGGACTGTGGGAGATGTGAGGCTGTTTGCCTGGGGCCCTCTCTGGAGGCCATCCCCACGCCTCAAAGGCCTCCGTGGCTCCCTTGTGGCTCCCTTGTAGCTCCCGTGGCTGCCCAGTCCCCGGGCCAGGTCATGCGCTGCCCCAAGTGCCTTCTCTGCCTGTCAGCACTGCTCACGCTCCTGGGCCTCAAGGTGTACATCGAGTGGACGTCCGAGTCCCGGCTCAGCAAGGCCTACCCTGGACCCCGGGGCACCTTGCCAGGCCCCACGTCGGCCAACCCTGAGCCCACTCTGCCCACCAACCTCTCAGCCCGCCTAGGCCAGACTGGCCCGCTGCCGTTGGCTTACTGGAACCAGCAGCAGTGGCGGCTGGGGACCCTGCCCAGTGGGGACAGCGCTAAGGCAGGGGGCTGCCAGGCTTGGGGGGCCGCTGCCGCTGCTGAGATCCCTGACTTTACCACCTACCCTGAGGACCTCCGCCGCTTCTTGCTGTCAGCAGCCTGCCGGAGCTTCCCACAGTGGCTACCCAGAGCTGGTGGTGGCCAAGTGGCCAGCTGCTCGGATACTGACGTCCCCTACCTGCTGTTGGCTGTCAAGTCAGAACCCGGGCGCTTTGCAGAACGACAGGCCGTGAGGGAGACGTGGGGCAGTCCAGCTCCTGGGATCCGGCTGCTCTTCCTGCTGGGGTCCCCCGTGGGTGAGGCCGGGCCTGACCTAAGCTCACTGGTGGCCTGGGAGAGCCATCGCTATAGTGACCTGCTGCTCTGGGACTTCCTTGACGTCCCCTTCAACCGGACACTCAAAGACCTGCTGCTGCTGGCCTGGGTGGGCCACCACTGCCCTGATGTGACTTTCGTCCTGCAAGTTCAAGATGACGCCTTCGTGCATACCCCGGCCCTCCTGGATCACCTGCAGGCCCTGCCTCCCACCTCGGCCCGGAACCTCTACCTGGGTGAGGTCTTCAGCCAGGCCACACCCCTCCGGAAGCCTGGAGGACCCTTCTATGTGCCTGGGTCCTTCTTCGAAGGTGGCTACCCGGCCTACGCAAGCGGAGGTGGCTATGTCATCTCGGGGCGCCTGGCACCCTGGCTGCTGCAGGCGGCAACCCGAGTGGCGCCCTTCCCCTTCGATGATGTCTACACCGGCCTCTGCTTCCGTGCCCTGGGGCTGGTGCCCCGGGCCCACCCAGGTTTCCTCACAGCCTGGCCGGCAGACCGCACCAGGAACCGCTGCGCTGTCCGAGACCTGCTGCTGGTGCGGCCCCTATACCCCCAGGACAGCATTCGGCTCTGGAAAGAACTGCGGGACCCGCAGCACCAGTGCTGAGCCTCCGTGGGGAGGATGGGACAGGGAGGGCTGACCTGGCCTGGGCCTCTGATGCACCTGGGCCCCTTGCTCAGCCCCTTCTCCCAGGCCTTGATGTGAGGGAGGGGGCCTACATCCGGACTGTTTGAGTGACTCCTGGGCCTCCTGACCACGCAGCATGGGGCCACAGACAGTTTTTGTCTACTTTTTGTCTTTTGCAAAACATGCACTCCCCATTCTGAGGCCTGGAGTTGTGTTTGTGTCTGTGGGGCCCCAAGTGGTGCTGCGCAGGCCTCAGCCATGCCCTGACCTGCACACTAATGCCCCCCACACTGGGCAGGGCTGGCTCTGATGGGCCTCATGGTCCCTTTGCTGGGCACCAGGCTTGCCCTGTTCTGAGGGACAGCAGGGGACCAACTGCCCCACTCCGTCTGCTGAAGCTGACTCTGCAGGTTGCGAAAGTTTCCAAGGGAAGCAGCTATCTCAACCGCCTTACTCCCCACACCCGCAAACTCCAGGAAACACACCAGAGGTGGAACGGAGCCAGATGCAGAGACAGTTTTTATTCAGCTTCTCTGCTGACCACCATGCACGCACACGCTCAGCAGGTTCCGCCTGCCACGCCCACCTCAAACCCAGGGGCCGCTAGGCCTGCAGGCACCCTTACCCACCCAGCCCTGGGGGAAGGCACAGTAGCAACAGTTGAACTGGGGCTGACAGAGCCTCAGCAACCGCTACAAACGCCGCCACCCCCCATGTAACAGTCTGGAGGGGCAGGACTAGGGAGTGGGAGCCACCTGTTATGGTCTCAGGCGCCACCTGGCCCCTGGGTATTCAGACGGAGCTGGATGGGGAAGGGGCAGTGTCCTGCCAGCTCTCCCCGCTCCCCTGAGTGGGGCTGCCTTGCTGGGTGGCTGAAGGTGGGTGGGGTACAGTGACTGGGCCTCACTTCTCAAAGTGGTCCAGGGGGTAGTGCTCCCCGTAGGTCTGCAGGTGACGGGACAGGGACTCCTGCTGCTTGCGGAGCTGGACAGGCATCTCTTGATACACATCTGAGAAGAGCAGGTTGGGGTTGGGCTTCAGCTTCCGCTCGGCCTGCTCAAAGGCCTCCATCACCTGTGGGGACACAGGATGGTGGTCAGACAGCTCCTCCCACCTAGGCCCTCTCTTCTCCTGTGGGATCTTGGCAAGGGGCTCTGGGCCTTCATGTTCCCATCTGGACAAGGCAGACGATCGTCATCACAGGGGTGTAACCAACATACTCAGCCCCCAAGATCTGCATCCTCGGCAGGGACCAGGCACTGTACTAAGCATGTGGGTTCATTTACGGCTCTCAGTAGCCCCAAGAAGTAGGCAGCTGAGAAATGAGGAAACTGAGGCACAAAGAAGAGAAGGGACTTGCCCACAATGATGGGGCGGAGCCGGGACACATGGTGCTGCCTGATGCCAGGATCTGCCCTTCCTGCCAGACTGCACCACCCCCAGGACCCTAATGGCCAAGCCGAGGAGGGCAGTGCACTGATTCGGGGCGGGGCACGTACGCTGCCCATGGATTAAGCCACCTAACCCTCAAACCCCCTTCTGAAATGAGCGCTACCAGTACCGCCCTCAGAGTCGAGGAAACTGCAGGCAAGTTGCCAAGGACACTTGCTAGGACACACATGGCCTGGCCCAGAGTTCCCCAGGTAGCAGCAGCACCCCACCACACACCCCTAGGCAGGGCCAGCCCTCACCCTCTTGCGGGACTGCTTCCTCCAGGCCTTCTCCTGCTCGTCGTCCCACCAGCCTCGGCCCAGCAGGTAGCGCCTCAGCCGGGAGATGGGGTGGTCCTGCTTGTCCCAGTAATTGACCTCATCCACGGAGCGGTAGGCAGAGCTGTCATCACTGGTGCTGTGGTGCCCGATCCTGCCCGGGGGAGGGGCCCAAGGTCAGCGAGGAGCCCCCTGGAGAGGGGGATGGAGGCAGGGACGGAGCAGGGAAGAAGCAGGGAAGAAGGGCTGGGAGTGGAATGAGGGTACGGGAGGGGATCCGTTATGGGGTGGGTGATGAGGCATGTTCTGCAGACAGCAATCAGTATGAGGAAGATGCCAAAGGCGCTGGCAGAGCTGTGGGGACAGACAGACACCTGTAGGTCATGGCCTCGATGAGGAAGGGCTGGTTCTCCGCAACAGCCCGCCGCCGGGCCTCCTTTGTGGCGTTGTACACGGCGAATACATCGTTGCCGTCCACGCGGATGGAAATGAGGCCGTACCCAGGGCCTCGTGCCGCTGTGGGGACAAAGGGGAGGTGGTTAGGCCAAGTGCAGGTGAGGAAAAGGCACAGGGCTGGAGGGAAGAAGCAGGGGGAGCAGGAAGGAAAGAAGGTAAAGTGAGAACAGGGGACCATGACAAACCAGAGCGCTGGCTTCACTGGCTCCTGCGACCAACGGGTGCCGGACACCAGGGGGCTGGGGGGTAGGGAGGTGATAGGGGCATAGAGAGCGGCCAGCAGGGCCCGTACCAATGCCATCCCCGCGGTACTGCTCGGAGGTGGGCGTGGAGATGGCGTAGCCATTGTTCCGGCAGAAGAAGATGATGGGACACTCAAGTGTGGCGGCGAAGTTGAAGCCGGCGTGGGCGTCCCCCTCGCTGGCTGCCCCCTCGCCGAAGTAACAGATGACCACCCTGTTGGCGTTGGCCCGCTTGGCCGCGTAGGCCGCCCCCACCGCTGCAGGGCGAGGAGAGGGCAGTGAGCAGGAGAAACGCACATCCACGCACCCCAGCCCGGGCTCTGGGCCTCAGGCTGCTGTCGCCAGGCTCAGGGAGGAAAGAAAACCCCGGAACCTCCTGATGTTCCCACAGCACCTGCCCAGCCCTGTCTTCTCCCCCTCAGCTGACCACAGCTCCATCCTCCCCAATGCTCAGGCCAGAAACTTCAGCAGCATCTCCAACTGCAAATTTTTTTCTTTTCTTTTTGTGAGACAGTCTCGCTCTGACGCCCAGGCTAGAGTGCCGTGGCATCAGCCTAGCTCACAGCAACCTCCAACACCTGGGCTCAAGGGATCCTTCTGCCTCAGCCTCCCGAGTAGCTGAGACTACAGGCATGCACCACCTTGCCTGGCTAATTTTTTTTATTTTCAGTAGAGACAGGGTCTTGCTCTTGCTCACGCTGGTCCTGAACTCCTGAGCTCAAGAGATCCTCCCACCTTGGTCTCCCAGAGTGCTAGGATTACAGGCATGAGCCACCACACCCGGCCCTGCAACTCCAAATTTTCTGTCATTCCCCACGTCTACTCCACACCACCCTGGTCAAGCCACCGTCACTTCTCGACCAAGTTATTGAACAGCCTCCTCCCTGGCCCCCCCATACCACAGCCACTCTGCAGGGGGCAGCCAGAGGACTCTGTTGACATGTGGCCAGGCCAAGTCTTCCCACAGCAGACTCCTCCCCACCCCACAGCCCCTGGTTCCTGTTCCACTCTGGGTAGTAGTCAAAGTCCCTGCCCCACCCAATCTGCAAATCTGCACCCCTCCCAACCCCACCACCTGTTGGACTTTACTTCCAACCACCCTCCACACCTGCTCACTCCACACCTACCCCGCAGGCACCTCCCTGCTTCTCAAACACATCCAGCACCTGCCTCCAGACAGCCACGTGGCTCCCTCCCTCACCTCCTCTGGTCTGGCCTGGTCTGTGCTTCAGTGTCACCTTCCAGCGGTGGCCCCCACCCGCCCAGCACGCGCCACATCCTCTCTGGCTCGGCAGTTCCCACAGGACTCGCCGGCCCAGACACACTCCAGATGTCACTTCTCCGTAGTCACTGTCTGTCTCCCCACAGTGGCAGCACCAGGGGGATGGAGGTTGTGCCTTTTTTGTTCGCTGCACCTAGAGTGGTGCCCAGCAGACTGCAGGGACTCTGCACGTTTGCCAGTGAGTGACTTAGCGGGCACCCGCACGGAAGGCTGGAGCAAGGCCCAGCCCTCCTGGAAACCCTTTAGCTCAAACGCCCCTCCTCTGAGAAGCGTCTCTGCCCACCACCCACCTAAGTGGCCTGAACTGCTCCTGTTCCCAAACAGAACACCACAGCCAAGGTGGCACCTCCCGCTGTGCCGGGCACAGCGCCAAGGGCTGCGAAGAGCCTGCACTGACCCCAGCCGGACTGCAGGCCCCAGAGGGTGCGGGGCTGGGGCGGGGGGTGATTCCTTGGTCTGACACTGTGTGGGCGCAGGCCTGGCATGCGGTGGGTCTGGTTCCCAAACAAGCCCCTTTTCATAGAAGGGGCTTCAGGGCACCCAGGGTAAGCTTCGGAGGAGTTTGCTTGACTCTGAGGATGGAGGAAGACAAGGGTGAGGGCCCAGAGCCTGGGCTCTGCAATGACATGGCCATGGTTTGAGTTCCTGCTCCTCGCTCTCCCTGCCACGTGACCTTTACCAAGTGGCTTCCCTCTTACACTTCAATTTCTGGCTCTTTAAAATAGGAACAAGAGTAAATATTAACCTTTACCCCCCTTGGCCACGGCAAGTGTCCTGAGACAATGGAGGCAAAGCAGCAGCACAGTGCCTGGGACCTGGTACGTGCCCAGGAACACACTGGATGTGTTCATGAGCACAGAAACGGGCCGGGCACAGCTGGGAAACGCAGACTGTGGTCGTGCGGGTTCAAAGCCACGGAAGGGGCTGGGGACACCAGCAGAGTCTCCCTCTGAAGGGTCCCAGACGAGGTATATTCAGAGTCTGGAGCAAAGAACAGGACTCTGATTGGCGACAACCCAGCAGCCCATCAAAAGGGAGGGAGAGACGCTGAGGCCTGGACAGGGTGTGACACTGGCCTGCATGTACGAGGCCCAGGACACGCGTCCTCACCCTGAGGGATCTGCGTGGCCAGTGGAGAGGAGATGGTGACGAAGTGGCGCTCCTTGCAACCGTAGTGGACGGGCATCTGGCGCCCCTTGCCAGGGTCACTCACGTTGCCGTAGCACTGAGCCATGAACAGTTCCAGGGGGTAGTCGCGGTACATCAGCACACCTAGGAGGGGAGGAGGGAGCAGTGAGCCGGGTGGGCAGTGCAGGGGCCAGACCAAACCCGTGGGTGACCCAGGGGGAGCCCCCTGCCACCAGGGCTTCCGGTTCCCTGTCTGTACAAGGGAGCTGGACTCGAGCAGAGAAGGCAATCGTGGATGCTGCTCACGGAGACCGGGCAGGCGCCGGAGACCCACGACCTGGCGGGCAGACTGGGAAGCACCGGCCTGGCTTAGGAGCAAGGCTGATGTTGAGACCACTGACCGCTGCTCGGGGAGGCCGGATAATCCAGTTTTTGAAAAGAAAGCAAAAATAGCCTTCTTTCTTTCATTCTTCTAATGAGAAACTGCCTGGTAGTCAAGTGTTTTCAATTAATTCAATTACTTTTTAAAAATCATCACCATTAACCAAATAAAAGCATAGACCACTAGCTCATTCACAGCTGCTGGGCTAGAGAGGAAATATTCTCATTTGTCACAGCAGTCAAACCCTTTCTGCAAACAAAACCTCGGGTGGACGCCCACCTCACCAGCAAAGGGAACCGCTCTGGGGACCGCTCTGCTAAGTGGGAAGACAGCAAGGAGTTTGTGATTGTCCTAGGACAAGCTACAACCCCCCGTGCCCCACCTGAAGAGGGGGGCAATCCTCGCACCCAAGCCTTATGCCCTGCGCTGTGGATCAATGACGTCCCTTGCAAGCACTCTGAGAACAGGAGCGTGACACAGACGCAGCTGTCTGTGGCTTCCAGTGGTTCCCAAACCCTTTCTTCACTGCAGAACCCTTTCTTTGGAATCAGATTTAATGGGGATCACATTACACAGCGGTCACATTTTCTGCAAGGGCTGCCCATCTCCCCCGAACAACAATCACAAATACGAAGATAACCCTACATGCCAAGGACCATTCCGAGCACTTTTCATAGACTAGCTCGGTTAATGCTCACCATCACCCTATGGAGCAGGGGGGATTTTCCTCCCCGCTTGGGCTCCCATATCGGGCTCCGCATCACACAGCTATGAAGTGGCAGAGTCGGAGCTGGCCTAAGGCAAGATGCACACAATTCCTGATGAGCCTGAGAAAGGGAAGCGGGGAGTGTTTCTCAGCTAATGGGGCACCACCATGAGACATCAAAATAAAAAGAGTGCAGTACTGTGTGGACAATCAGCTTTGGAAGGATACTCTTCCTGAAATCTTAGTGAGGGTTGAGGGTGTTTAGTGTTGCTTCAACATTCACCTTTAATACAGGGTTATTAGTATTTTTTGTCACATGCTTTTGCATCGGTACAATACAAATTCACATAAAACGTGGTCACACCGTATACACAACAGGGGGTGTTCTGGATGGAGAGAGAAAGGGGGCCGCGTGGACGGTCAGAGAAGGTCCAAGGTACTGACACATCTAGGAACTGGGCTTTCTCAGAAAGTGGCCCTGGGTACTGGACGGGGGCAGGGGAAGTGTTAAAAGTTCAGAGTTGTGGTCCCTACACCCAAGGGGCGCTGACTTGCACCGGGAAACTGCAGGTACGGTCGGCCTGCTGACCATCCCTGAAACACACACCTGCTGCCCCCTGGGTAACTCCTTCACTCCCAGGCATGCGTTAGTGTTCCTCAGCTTCCTTCATTCCTATTCCTTGATCCTTCCCTCTTTTCATTCATTTAATCAGCTCCCCAGCCAGGGGCTGCCAGGCTCTCCGATCTCGTACCCTGTTAAGGTCTATAGAGGCCCTCCTACCTGCTCCTGCTCCCTAAAGGACACAGCAACTGAGGACCCAGCAGAGGCCGCACTCTGTGGACAGGGTCCACGGCACATGCGCACCTCAGCCGGGCCTGGCCTCGCTGCATCCTCCCAGAAGCCCCTCAGTGCAGGTACCAGCGTGATCCCACTTCTGGAGATGAGAAAACTGGGGCTCAGGGAACTGATCTGCCCAAAACCCGACAACTGGTAATAAATGGTTGAGGGCATAGGCTCTTTTTATTTTTTAAATATTATTATTGTGGGTACATAATAGTTGTACATCTTTACGGGGTCCATGCGATGTTTTGAGGCAGGCATGCAATGTGAATTCATCAAATCGGGTACCTGGGGTGTCTATCACCGCAGGCATTTGTCATTTCTTTGTTAGGAACATTCCAATTCCACTCTTTTAGTTATTTTAAAGTACACTCTAACTTATATTGATTATAGTCACTTTGTTGTGCTATCAAATATTGTTCATTCTATCTAGCTATATTTTGTATCCATTAACCATCCCCACTTTATCCCCCCTCCATGCCACCCTCCCAGCCTCTGGTAACTGTCATTCTACTGTCTCCATGAGATCAATTGTTTCTAATATTTAGCTCCCACATATCAGTGAGAACAAGGAGCATATCATAGGCTCTTAACCACTACAGTTCCTGCCTTCAGAGAGAAGTCTGACCCCTCCAAAGTCCTGTCCCTGGCTTGCCTCTTCCTTGCCCAGAAAGTTCTTCCAGCTCCTTAGACCTTTCTGGCACTGTGCTGTTCCTGGAAGACCATTCGGGGTGACTAAAATGTCCACCAAGAGGGAATACAGGGCCAATCCAGCACAGACGCACCTGCCTCCCGGTACTGGCCAAAAACCAGGTCCGTGTTGTCCAGGGCCGCTGCGCTCCCCACGTGCGTCCCCTCCTCGCCGTAGTTGGTCATGTAGAAGGAGATCCGGCCCTGGGGGTGGAAGGGGGCCCAGAGGCCCAAGCTCAGTTACGCTGGGCAACGACAGAGAACCATCCCAATCCTGCCCAACTCCTGATGAGTCCTTTCATCAACACAGTCTTCCTGAAGGCCAGCCCTGGGCCCGGCCGCGCTAGGGTTTCTGCCTTCATGGAGGAACTGTCAGGTTGGTTAGAGCCGGAGTGATCGGGTCTCTGTGACGTGAGCCCAGAGGAGAGGCCTATCCCACCATGGGAAAGCATCAGGGAAAACTGCCTGGGCTCAGCAAAGGCGGGCCGGGTGGAGGATTCCAGGCGGAGGGAACAATAAACACCACGAAGCCAGAAGGGCTGAGACACAAAGTGGGAGGGGTGGGGAGGATGAGACGGGAGAGGGAGGCAGCACCCAGAAAATGCAGAACAATACACCCACTTTACTCTGAGAACAGCGGTAATCCACTGACCGTCCTCCTCCAGGGAGCAATGTGGTCAGACATGTGTTTTAGAAACCTCTCTGAGGCTGCCGTGCGGGAAATGGATGGAGACAGAGCTAACTGCAGCAAAGCAGGAGAGCAGGGGCGGTGGCCGGGCGTGACAGCAGTGGGAGCCAGAGAGGAGCAGATGGATGAGCTTAAGCAGCAGAGTCAGCAGTACCAGGGCGCAGACCCTGCCAGCTGGCCACACCGGGCCGGGCCAGCTTCCTTTACCCAAATCCCCAACGCAAGCCTGGAAAAGACACACACTCAGGTCCCCAGCCTCTCTTGCAGCCATAGGTGGCTACGGGACATAGTTTTAGCTAGAGACTCCAGTGGAAGTCCGCTTTTGCTTTCTGGATAAAAGGGACCACTCTGGCTGGCACCAGCCCCACCCCCACCCCCTCCTTCCTGCCCTGCACGAAGCCATAAAGCCTGGACCTGCAGTGGCCTTCCTGTGAACATGAGGCAACAAGCACAGGATGGACGCCAACTAGCCAACCAAGAGAAGCAGAAAGAGAAGAGGGGGTTCGGCCCTGGATGGCGCCGCTGAGCAGCTGAAAGTCTCTACAGAAATCCCTCGGGACAGAGGGAACGGGAACAGAGGGAATGAGGGGACAGAGTGATGGCAGAGGGGGAGAGGAGAAAAGGATGAGACCCAGGAGTCCAGCGTGGGTGGATGGGGGATGGTGGTGCCCTTCACTGAGAAAGGGACTAGGGAGGAAGAGCAGCAAGTCTGGGAGGAAGACGCCAAGGTCAAGTTCGGACAGGCTGTTTGCTAGGAACATCCAGAGCGAGGAGCCAGATGGATGTAGGACTCTGACAAGCCCGTCTGGCAGGAGAGCTGGGGAAGCCCTGGGACACAGACAGAAGTGAGGTCACTCAGAGCCATATGCAAAGTGAAACAAAGCGAGCCTGGACAGCGCTCTGAGGGACACTCATGGCCAGGCCTCCTCGGGGCTCAGCAGTGCCCTCCTCCACGAGTTCCACAGGCCTGCTTCTGCAGCTGCTGTGGGGAAACCAATGAATACGTGCTTTCTTCCAAGTGGGGAGCCAATTAAAAGCTAATTGACCTTCCAGTGCCAAGTGTGTGGGTGGCTGCTGGGCGAGGGGCCTGGTGGGGCTGTCAAGGTTAGTGTGGGGAGGAGCCTGAGACCGTCCCCAGAGGAACAGGACTTGGGCTGGCGGCAGAGGCTGCTGGTTGCCCACCCAGTATCCTATCCCCCTTCCTCTCAGTTAACAGAGATCTCGTCCTCCACAGGCGGCACATGCCTGGACTAAAAGACTCCATTTCTCAGTCTCCCTTGCAGCTAGGAGTGACCCATGAAATGTAAGCAGATCTTGGGTGGGACTACCTGGAAAGTTCTACAAAAGTGGGGATGGGAGATAGCTGGGATATACCACGGCTGACCTTCCACTTTCCTTCTACTTCTTGCCTGGAATGAGATGTGATGGAGGGAGGCCCAGCAGCCATTTGAACCATGAGGGGACTGGAGAAGACAGAAGCCAGTGCTTTGTTGTTTTTTGGTTTTTTTTTTTTTTTTTTGAGACAGTCTCACTTTGTTGCCCAGGCTAGAGTGAGTGCTGTGGCATCAGCCTAGCTCACAGCAACCTCAATCTCCTGGGCTCAAGCGATCCTCCTGCCTCAGCCTCCCAAGTAGCTGGGACTACAGGCATCCGCCACCATGCCCGGCTGATTTTTTGTATATATATTTTTAGTTAGTCAATTAATTTCTTTCTATTTTTGGTAGAGACAGGGTCTTGCTCAGGCTGGTTTCGAACTCCTGACCTTGAGCAATCTGCCCGCCTCGGCCTCCCAGAGTGCTAGGATTACAGGCGTGAGCCACCGCGCCTGGCCTGCTTTTGTTTTTATTTGTAACAGTTTTTATTTGTTGAGTGGGAAGGAGACCTGTGACTTACAGCCAGACATAATCCCAACAAATACGGGCTGAACCATGATGGATGAGGTGATCTTACTGGGAGCTTCCTGATGTTACCCAATAAGCAAGTGACCATACATGCTGGGTCTCACAGAATCCCTATCCCTATCCTACAGGGTGGGTTCTGTCATTGGCCCCGTTTTTTAATACAGTGAGGAAACTGAGGCAAAGACAAGAAAAACTGCCTGCCCAAAGTCACAGCTGCAACTGGACCGAAGTCCATCGGATCCCAAAGCCCCGTCTGTGCAGCCCACACAGGTACAGGAGGGAGCCTGTGCATGCAGGAGTGGGTGGCCTGGCACTGGGGCTGCGGAGAAGGGGGCAGAGAGCACCAAGCCACAGAGGAACGGGAGCAGGGTGGTCGGGAGGGGCCAGACCTGATTCTGTGTAGAGTGGGAGCCCAGGGACGTTTGTGGGCAGGGAGAGGTGCCACCCTAACTTGGGGAACCCATACACAGGGTTCCTGTGAGTGGGAAAGCCCAAGAGTGGGCTGCCCACCAGAATCCGCTAAGTGTCCACACCAGGATCACCTGCGGGCTTGACACAAATGCGGACTCCCACGGCCAGCCTCTTCTGACCCAGCAGGCGTGACAGACATCTGAGGGCTTTCTGCCAATGTGCTTCCCCCTCATCTGATAGGAGCCCCTGCTCTCCACTTCTGCGTCCTGAGAGGGAAGGGGTCTACACCTCTACTCTCTCGGTCCCTGGCAGTAGGCACATGGCCCGGGCCTGGCCAAACAGTCACCAATCTATGACCAAAGCTTAGCCAATGAGCACCAGCCCTGGGCCTTCTACTGCAACATTAGGGACCATTCTCTTTCCAATGCTAAGTGGGAAAGATAATAACCGCAAGGTTGGTAGGGTCATCACAAATAAACACTAATATTTACTGAGTGCTGGCTAAATGCCAGTTCACTGCTCCTAAGGTCATCACACATGCCACTATCAAGCCTCATGACACCTCAAGAGCTAAGCGCAGACAAGGAAACTGAAGCATTGAGGTGTGAAGCGACTTCCCAGGGCCACAGAGCTAGAAACGGGCACAGCCAGGACTCTGACCTTCCAGACTTGCTCCAGTGCCTGCACCCTGAACCCTTTCTCTCTGCCACCTCCCCATGAGCCAAGAGCTGCCAGAGACCACTGCCGATTGACAATGAAGAAAGCCAAGGCAAAGAATAATAGAAAAGACACAAAGGAAAACAAAAAGGTCTGATAACGTCCGATAACCACAGCCCCCTGGATCCAGCTGTGCCTGAAAACAGGCCCCAAGACTGCAACCGAGTCAATAAATTCCTTATTTGTTGACATTGGTTTGACTAGATCTTTGTCCCCTGATAGTAAGACTTCTTTTTTTTTTTTTTTTTTTTTTGAGACAGAGTCTCGCTTTGTTGCCCAGGCTAGAGTGAGTGCTGTGGCGTCAGCCTAGCTCACAGCAACCTCAAACTCCTGGGCTCAAGCAATCCTCCTGCCTCAGCCTCCCGAGTAGCTGGGACTACAGGCATGCGCCACCATGCCCGGCTAATTTTTTATATATATATATTAGTTGGCCAATTAATTTCTTTCTATTTTTATAGTAGAGACGGGGTCTCGCTCTTGTTCAGGCTGGTTTCGAACTCCTGACCTCGAGCAATCCGCCCGCCTCGGCCTCCCAGAGTGCTAGGATCACAGGCGTGAGCCACCACGCCCGGCCGATAGTAAGACTTCTGAGGATCACAACGCATTTGACATGGCGGAGGGTGGTCCCTCGGGCACTCCAGGAAGCACTATGGGCCTGCTCAATTTCTTAGGACTGTGAGCTCCTGGGAAGAAGGGCCATCCGGCCTTGTCCTCCCTACCTTCTCCCAGCACAGGTAGCCCCGGTCAGGTGCACAGCACGTGTCTTTAGTGATGAGGTCCATCTTTCTCTCCTTGGGCAGGACCCCACCCACACTCTTCCTCCACAGCCCTAAGAACTCTCAGGCTCCCCAAAGAAGGATTTCTCCTTTAGCCCAAACACAGGTAGAAAGGACCTTAGATAATCCCAAATACCCCCTTCTTCCCCCGGCCTGTCCCCACGCACCTGCCGCTGAGACTCATAGAGGATGCGGTCCATGGTGTTGAGCAGCGTCATGCTCTTGTAGAACTTCAGGACTTGCTCCTGGGGCAGCTACAGGTGGAGGCACAGACAGACGTGGGGTGGTTGGGACAAGAGAGGAGACGGGCAAGAGGCCCGGACAGGAGGGGCACGGGAAGGGGGGAGGCAGCCTCTCACTTGGGGGTCCTCGCTGGGGTTGATGATCTGGCCCTGCCGGTCCATGACGCGGTAGATGGGGATTCCGGAGATGACATTGGGCTGGATGAATTCCAGTTTGTCTATGAACTCTGCCGAGGCCCCTGGGAACTGAGGCTTGTCCTCCAGAGATGAGAACTGCTGCTGCTGCTGCCTGTGGGGGTGCTGGGGAGAGAGGGTGGAGGAGACACCCACGTCAGGAGCAGTGTGGAGGTTCCTGCTGGCTCGATCCCGGCAACAGGAGGGACGGGTGGGTAAAGCTTTGGCACCTGACTCCCATTGTGACACCCTGGGATAGTTATTAAATTTCTGTGTCTCAGTTTCCTCATCTGAAAACTTGGGATGAAAATAGTAACATCTATCCCACAGAGTTATTATAAGATTAAATGACTCAATAAAGTGGCAGGTAGCTCAAGAACTGGTAGCTGTTGTCACTTTCATTACACGTGCCCAAACTCTGCACCCCGGCTTCAAGGCCTCCCCCATCTGGCCACAGATGCCCCTCCTGTCTCTCATGGACACCCCAGGCACACACACCCTGCACAGTGTCCTGAGGCAGCCAGGTGGGCCCTTACGGACCCCTATACCACACACCAGGGAGGCCACCTAGAATAGAGCTTCTTGGAGCTCTCAAGAGTCAGACTGCCTGGGTTCAAATCCCTTACTGGGTGACGTGGCAAAGTGACTTCCCCTCTTCATGTGTGCCCTTCCTTATCTGTAAAATGGAGGACACCTTGTGAAAATAAGCCTCGAGGCTTCGATTACATAGATCAAGCATATAACATGTTCGGTAGAGGATCTGTAAGCCATATAGCAAATACTCAAAAAAATGTTGGCCATTATTCCTACCACCTGTCCCTGCTCTCACCCCGTGAAGCTAGGTAGCCTTGAACTGACCTAAGAGTCGTGACTGTGTGCCAGGCACAATCTCACCGAGTCTCCAAAGAATCTGTGCATCAAGATTATTCGCTGCTGCCCCTGAGTAGAAGGGCTCTTTCCCCACCACCTGGCAAATGGCTGCACACACTCCAGTGCCTTCTCCACCCCCATCCCAGCTCCCCCTGCAAGCCTAGACTGACTCATTCAACAAATATTTGAGCACCTGCCTTTGTTCCAAGCCCTGTGCTGGGTTCTGGGGACCTAAGACAGGCAGGACATTTGTCCTTGCTGCCTAGCAGGGAAGACAGATGCCGAACAAGCAACGATGAGGGTGATTTACATCATCCTGAGACAGAGGGGAAAGGGGGTGAGGCTTCCCTGGAGAAGTGAAATTAGAGCTGAGACCTAAAGGATAGAGGAGTTAGGGACACAGCATTCTGGGAAGGGGAACAGAACGTGCAAAAGACAAGAGTGAGGAATGGTGGGAGGAGCCCAGAGTGGCTGTGAGGCCATCTCACCACCTCAATGGCTGGAAAGCTCAGGAGACCAGACAGAAGCGAAGCCCTAAACACTCAAAAGGATGTGGGCCGTTTAGAATTCTCTTTTTTTTTTTTTGAGACAGAGTCTCACTCTCTTGCCCAGGCTAGAGTGCCGTGGCCTCAGCCTAGCTCACAGCAACCTCTAACTCCTGGGCTCAAGCGATCCTCCTGCCTCAGCCTCCCGAGTAGCTGGGACTACAGGCATGCGCTACCATGCTCAGCTAATTTTTTCTATATATATTTTAGTTGGCCAATTATTTTCTTTCTATTTATAGTAGAGACAGGGTCTTGCTCTTGCTCAGGCTGGTTTTGAACACCTGACCTTGAGCAATCCTCCTGCCTCGGCCTCCCAGAGTGCTAAGATTACAGGCATGAGCCACCTCGCCTGGCCCATTTAGAATTCTTAGCTCTTGAGCAAGGCAGTCTTGAACCAGCCTAAGTATCCTAACAGCTCCCCTTTGCCAAGCACCTGCTGCGCACCAGGCTGAGTTTTACATACACGACCTCACCGCGTCCTCAGAGGACCTACAAGGTGGGATTATTTGCTACTGCCCTTGAGTAGATGAGGAAGCCAAGGCTTGGGGAGGTGGAAAATAACCTGTACCAGGCCACACACACAAATCATGTCAGGACCGGGCTTCAAACGTGGGCAGAGCTGAGATTCAGACCCCAAATCCCATGCTGCTAACCCCAACTGCCACTGCTGGCTCCATTTCCACACATCTGCGTCTTTTCTTCCCAACACATTTCAGATTCTTCTTAGGTCAGTAATTGTGGTTTCACTTTCAACAGGCGTTCAAGAAGGGCAAGGTTTGCTACCAGCCAAATCTCACACGTGGGTGCTCAAGTGTGTCCCTCCCACCTCCACCACCCACTTTCATTGCAGCAAACAAGCTGTCCGAGGTTCCTGCAGGGTGGCGTGTTATGTGTGTGCATTTATCTGTGTTTGTGGCTGTGAGGAAATCACACTCCCAACGGCAGGGCAGGCTCAGGCCTGACGACATCACAGCAGGCACCCCTCCCCTGCCAGAAGGAAGCCACTGGCCCCTTGCACACTGCGCTTCCCCCTCTGAGCACTCAGCACAGCTGGACCTTCACCTCCATCTAGAAGATTCCTTTGTCTTGTGCGGTCTCTCACATGCACCACGAGTTCTAGGAGAGTAGGGACGGTGGCCAGGTCGGCTCACACAGCAGGCACTCAATAGATAATGAATGAACAAAACACGTGAATGAGCAGTTCATTTCACTGGCTTTGGAGTCAAACTGACCTGGGTTCCAATTCCTTAGCTCCCTGTGTAATGCCAGCCTCTTGGGAAGCTGAGGCAGGAGGATCAATTGACCCCAGGAGTTTAAGGCTACAGTGAGCTATCATGATGCCCCTGCACTATAGCCTGGGCGACAGAGTGAGACCCTGTCTCCAAAAAAAAAAAAAAAAAAAAAAAATAGGTAGAAGTGAGAAAAAAATCTGGGAAGGTTAGGAATTAGGAAAAAGAAACATGACTGGCACTTTGGGAAGAAGGCAGGGTAAAGGGTTGGAGAGAAAAACTGCACCTTAAAACGGATTCTAAAACTAAACCTTGGCCCCAACAGACACTCCAGAGGGGGAAACTGAGGCATGGGGAGACAATGTGCTAATATGCCAACAGGACGGAAGGCTGAAGTCGGCAGAGTGGCACTGAGAGGGGGCCGGCAGGGGTCAGGAGAGGGCTGTCTGCCTCTGAAGGCTGGACAGCTCCCATCAGGACCCCGGTGTGCTCCATATACTGAGCTGGGCCTGGGCTGGGCCTTCCTCCCCTATTTCCCTGGGTCTGTGCAGATGACAGTAGCCCCCACCCCCAGGGTCACCACACTGACTGAATAAGCAAAGGGCTCAGCCTGGTCCTGAGGAAATGCCCCACCAATGGGACTGGGTGGTCAAATGCCTGCATAGGAAGGACGTGACTCCACCCATTTGTCTTCTGTTTCGGGAGGGGGGTTGTCCCGGTGGCCAGTGATTTACAATGGCAGAGGCTGCACAGATTTACACAAAGCTTTCAAGACACCCTGTCCCACCTGCCTGTTCTGGGTGGTCTGGTCTGCCCAGCAGTACTGGGGTGGCCCTGGAGAAGTCGATCCCTAAGGCACTATGGTTAAGGGCAAGGACTGCAAGCAGACACCACCTCGTGGTTGTATAACTCCAACTCCCTGCGCTTCAGCTTCCTGCTGTGCACACTGAGGGTTGTCACCTGTGTATAGACTGCTTAGCCCAGTGCCTGGCACATAATGAATGCTTCATAAATGCGAGAGGCTAATAAGTATATTTGACAACTTCTCCTGACAAATTTGCTCCAAGTCAGGCCCTGAACTGAGAGGGCTGGAGAGAGGGAGGGACAGATGACACACTGGACACACACATTATAGCCGAGAGGGATGATCTCAGTGCAGGCCAGATAGCACAATGGTTAAACACAGGGCAGGTGGGACGATGGGCTCTAGAGCTATACTGCTGGTGTTCCAGTCCTGGTTCTGTCCCTTTCCAGCCACGCAGTGTCGGACAGGAACCAGTCTCCCTTAACTGCGTTCCCTCGTGGGGTAACATCTACTCACAGGCTTGTGGAGAGGTGGGTAAAGCAGCTCTGGTAGCTCTGGGAGGAACAGTTCCTAGCTAGCATGAGACGGGGCACCAGGAAAAGTGTCGTGGAGAGAAGGAGTTGAGCCAAGGCCTGCTGGACAGGCAGGGGTGAGCCGGCAAAAGGCCAGGGGTTAGAACATCAGTCCAGGGAACAACAAAGGCTCTGAGACAGGAGAGGAGGGATACTGAAGACCAGACCAGCAGAGCTGAGCAGGTTACCAAGAATAAACACGTGCCTCGGTGCTGCTCAAAGCGCTTTATTTGCACCTATGTGCTCACTTAACCCACCCAGCACCCAGGTGAGGCAGGCGTTACTACCACACCTCCATCAGAGAGAGGTGGTATCTGAGGCTCAGAGGGGTTGAGCGACTTGTCTAGAGCCACAGAGACCCTGAGTGGCCACGCCAGCATGTACAGCCTGGCGGCCTGACCACTATTGCTGCGAGAGGCAGGAAGAACGGTCAGGTCCAGAGAATGACAGGCTTTGTGCACGGTGCCAGTTAACTCCGAGTCCTCAAAATTTGGGACGGCAAAGGCCACCCAATCCTGCTCTCTCCTAACCTCTGAGGCACTCTGCCGTCAAACAAAGCAAAGAGCTGAGCCTCCCCTTCCCAGATAGCTGGCTAGGAGGGGGTGGTATGAAGATTAGTCAGGCTCAGGAACTCAGGGCTTTAGTAGCACGAGGCTCCCCGAGGCACTAAAGGTGTAAAGCCCCAAGGGAGGGCATTTCCCTGACCAGATTTACTGACCCCAGTTTACTGAAACTCTCATTTCTTGAGCCCTTACTGAGTGCTCAGTATATGTAGTTAAGTGCTTCATAAGAACCACTTTCTTGGCCAGACACAGTGGCTCACGCCTGTAATCCCAGTACTTTGGGAGGCAGAAGGATTGCTTGAGGTCAGGAGTTCAATACCAGCACTTTGCAACATAGTGAGACTCTTGTCTCTATAAAAAAAAAAAAAAAAATAGCTGGGTGTGGTGGTACACACCTGTAGCCCTACCTACTTGGGAGGCTGAGGTGAGAGGATGGCTGGAGCCCAGGAATTTGAGGCTAAAGTGAGCTATGATCCTACAACAGCCTGGGGAGGGGGGAGGAACCACTTTCTTTAATTTTCACTACAGCTTTGTGAATGAGGTACTACTACTTTCCCTGTTGTAAAGATTAAGACCTGATGTTTGCAGCCCAGAAGCTTCTCTGTGGAAGTGGCATATCAGCCATCATCTGAAGGACTTCGTGCCTACAAAGGCCTCCAGGTGAGAGCGGGCACATTCAAGGAAGGAAAAGATGGTGACTGAGGCTGATGTGCAGAGAGGAAAGGGGACACTGGGGGCTGAGGCCAGCTCTTCCCAACCTAAGTTCCAACCAGCCCGGGCACAAGCTGGTGATATACGCCAATACTGAACTAAGAAAGATGTTACCTAAGACTAAATCTAAGCCCCAACCCTTTTCCTCCTGGCAGCCCGGTACCATGAAAAGAAAGTGGGCTCTGGAACCTAGAGCTCTAAGTTCAGACCTCACCTCTCCAAGCCTCAGTTTCTCTATCTGTAATAAGAGAGTACTACCAGTACAGACCTTGCAGTGTGGCTGCATTAAATATAATGGATGTGAGTTGCCACTGTAAATTATAAAGTGCTCCAAGATGTGAAAAATGAGGCAAGGTTTCTTAAAATGTTAGCCAAGGAGATGCACCCATATGATTAGGAGATCAGTAATGACCATCTCCATTCATTCCACAATACACACCTACCACTTAGAGATAATGCATACAGCACTGGCACCCCCAGACAGCTGCCCCTGAGCAGCTGGGTCAGGGAAATAAAGTGACTGATTATTAGCACAGATTGAGCTCTAGGTGTTCCCTGACTCCCAACAGGGTAGGGACTTTACTCACCCCACTTGCTAGGGACAGCTAGAGTCAAGAAGTGAAATGGCTTGGCAAAATCCCAGGCCTGGGGTGCTGGCTGAGAAACTAACTCACGTGTCCCTGACAAGCTGAGTTTCCTTCTTCCTCTTCCCTCTGAGCACTAAAATATGTGTTATGACATCAAGGGAGATAGAAATTGGGCAAACGCCTCCAATAAAGGGGGTGGTGACAGGAGAGGCAAGAAGGGAGGGACAAAGTAAAGCAGCCCATCCCTCCTCCTAACACCACTTGCCCTGGTAACCCCGGTAATTCAAACCAATCTGTCCATTACTTTACAACCTCCCAACCTTTCATAAAACGATGGCGGTCACCAGCCACTTGTGGCTATTTAAACTTAAAACTCATTAAAATTGACTAAGATGGTGAGGGGAATTAACTAACATGAACTAAAATAAAATTTTAAGGCTCACTCCCCCCACCAGCTGACTGAATGGACCACCTCGTGGCCAAAGGAATATCCTAAAACTAAATTGTCTGCCAGGAGGAGAGAGGTCTCCCTTCTTAGAGACATCCTTTGTAACCCATTAACAGGCCTAAGGGTATGCAAGACAATTCTGCACGTCCTCAATTTACACAACAAATCTATGTAGGTGGCTTATCTCAGATAACCACTCCTTATGTTAAAACATTCCAAGCCTTTAGACAAAGCTTCATGTCTTTAACCAATTACAATCCAAAGAATCTTTAAACCCACCTATAACCTGTAAGTGCCCCCACCTTAGAGATGTCCCACCTTTTTGGGCCAAACCAATGTATACCTCCCACATATATATTTATAACTTTACCTGTAACCCCTGTCTCCCTGAAATGTATAAAAACCAAACTGTAAACCAGTCACATTGAGTGGCTCCGGGTCATGGTCCTCAAATTTGGCTCAGAATAAATCTCTACTGCTGGAGGTCAGGAGTTCGAAACCAGCCTGAGCAAGACCCTGTCTCTACTAAAAATGGAAAGAAATTAATTGACCAACTAAAAATATATATACAAAAGATTAGCTGGGCATGGTGGCGCATGCTTGTGGTCCCAGCTACTCGGGAGGCTAAGGCAGTAGGATCGCTTGAACCCAGGAGATTGAGGTTGCTGTGAGCTAGGCTAATGCCACGGCACTCACTCTAGCCTGGGCAACAAAGTGAGACTCTGTCTCAAAATAAATAAATAAATAAAGTGCTCAGTAGCCACATTTTGCTAGTGGCTACAGTACTAGACAGGATAAATATAAAATATAGCCATTACTGCAAAAAGTTCTTTTGGGCCGGGCGTGGTGGCTCACACCTGTAATCCTAGCACTCTGGGAGGCCGAGGCGGGCGGATTGTTCAAGGTAAGGAGTTTGAAACCACCCTGAGCAAGAGCAAGACCCCTAGAAAAAATTAGGTGGGCATGGTGGTGCATGCCTGTAGTCCCAGCTACTAGGGAGGCTGAGGCAGCAGGATTGCTTGAGCCCAGGAGTTTGAGGTTGCTGTGAGCTAGGATGACGCCACGGCACTCACGCTAGCCTGGGCAACAAAGCAAGACTCTGTCTCCAAAAAAAAAGTTCTTTTGGATAGCTCTGGTTTAATGTCTTCTTTGACTAAATGCTACTACCTCTTCCTCCCACTCAAAAAAGCAGTCTCTTTTATAATCTTAGAAACACAAGTGAGAGGAAAAGAAAACAGTGACTCTAAGAAAATACAAAATTTTAAATAAATAAAATGTAGGGACTTCTCCACCACCACCACCACCCTAAGAAAAAGGAAGTAGAAGGAGCATGGGGGAAGGCAACAGGGAGACTAAGCCCTGAGGGAAACAGATTTAATCAGCAACACATGACCTTTCCCTAGCCAGCTCCAGTCCTGCCCAACTCCCACCCCACTTGCCCAGCCAATGGGCTCCTGGGACTGAGATCAGCTGTGGAGCACAAGATTGCTGGGGAAAAAAAGCAAAAGGGAACAGCCCAAAGGCAGGAGGCTGCCCTACCCACTTACTGCCCGGCTCCTGCAATCCTTCTGTACTTACCTGCTTGAAGTCACTCCCTTCCTAGGTACTCACACTCCACTCCTGCCCCATCCTCTTCACCTTCCTCCCCTGTTTCTTCCCCTACCCAGAACTTCTTCCTGCAGATTTCATCTTCCCTTCCTTGTGATTAGGGATCAGAACCAACCTCACAAGAATTTGATAAATTCTTCCCCACAGCCTTATCAATCCAAGGCCTCGCAAGGTCACCTCCTTTCTTCTCATCTCCAAGGTCAGTTTTTGTCCCTTCCCTCCACCCTCAATCAACAGTGACCGACATTCCTCTTGCCCTTACGATGTGCCAGGACCAGTTCTTAGCATTTTACACATTAAATTTTCACAATAACTCTATGAGGTAGCCACTGTTAGCACTTTACAGAGAGGGAAATTAGGTCCAGACCCTTACCCAAAGCTACACAACTGGGAAGTAGCAGTACAGAGATATGAATCCACGTGGTCTAGCTCCAGAACCCACTCACTTAACTACTACTCCCCCCCCCCCGCGCCTTTTTTTGAGAGTAGAGTGTCTCTCTGTCACCCTACATGGAGTGCAGTGGTGTCATCATAGCTCACTGCAACTTCAAACTCCTGGGCTCAAGCCATCCTCCTGCCTCAGCCTTCCAAGTAAGCTGCGACTACAGGTGCTGGCCACTACACTCAGCTAAGTTTTCTATTTTCTGTAGAGATGGGGTCTTGCTCTTGCTCAGACTGATCCTGAACCCCAGACCTCAAGCAATCCTCCCGCCTCAGCTTCCCAGAGTGCTAGGATTACAGGCGTGAGCACCCAGCCTACTACTCTCATCTGTGAAGTTTTAGTTCAAGGCTCTTCTACAGCCCACTGCCTCTCCCCCTATAAGCAGGGGCTTCCACCTAGATTTTCCACAGCGTGATCTCAATCTTAGCACCATCTACTCAACGGGATTCTGACCCTTTTGACAAAGCTTTCTCAAGTGTTTCCAAGAAATGTGTACAAAGTGCCCTGTCTAGACTTCTCTCCCTCCTTTCCTCCTCTCATTAATTCAGCAAACACTTACTTACTAATCCTCTGCATAGTGTCCAGAATATATGAATTTCCTGTCTTGGCATTCGGTCAGCGGACACAAGAATCAAACAAGTTTTTTACGCAATCCATTTTAAAATTAGAATTGTGGCAAAGAAATGCAGGGCCCTATAAAAGCCCGTGACAGGAACCTGATCTCTCCTTTCTCCTCTTTCAAGAGGATTCTTTACTCAGAAGAAAGCCTCCCCTTTACAAAGTCATTTTCATTCTCCAACTCAAGAGGGACAAAGTCTCGGCACCCTCCCCTGTCTCTCCAAGGGACCTTCCCTGTAGATGAAAACAAATGAGGAACCCCCATCCCTCTCCTCCAAGTCTCCTTCCCTCAGGACCCACACAGGAGCTGCCTCGCTGTTCCTCTCCTGAAGAAGTGGAAGTTCTTTCCTTGCGTGTCCTCTCCAAGTAGTCTTTCCCAGTCCTTTTTCCTTCTATGACACCCCTTCCTTCACACCATGCAGGGGCTCCACGCTCTGAAGATAGCCTTTGCATTCCTATTTCCCCTTGAGGAAAATCCGCTGGGGCCCCACGTACTCACAGATCTAGCCAGCCCCCGAGCTCCGGGCCGCCGCAGCGCCAGGAGGGCAGCCTGGCCCAGGCCTCGGCTTGGCCCCCAGAACCTGGCCGCAGCGACCACTACCGCCATCTTGGCCAACAACCTCTCAGCGATCCGCCCCCTCTTGCCCCAGTCTGGGGCTGCCCCTTTATGTGCCTGACTCAAATGCCCGCACCACTCTGATGAGAAGACCACCTCTTCCAGTTACGTGGTAGCTAGGATGCATAGAGAGGTGGAGAAAACAATCTATCTTCCCAAAATTTATTCCGACCGCCTCATTCGTAGCTGCTCCTGTAACAGGCAAAGAAGAGGCCAATCTGACCAGAGCCTCGAGGCTTCAGGGTCCGGGGGCCTCGGGTGGGACGAGGCCATGCCAAGGACTGCCTCCTCTTCACTACTGTCCAATGGCTTTGCCGAGGTTAGGGGGTGGGAGTGGGCGGAGCCAGATTGTTGGTAAACGCTAAGCCACGTGTAGGAACCAATTCAGAAGGCCCCTGGGCTTGCGCGTGCGCACTGGGTACGCGGCCTATGCGCAGGCGCCTGCTGCTGGGCGGAAGCGCAGTTGCAGCCGCACGCGGGCTCTGGCGCTATGGAGGTGGGCATGCACACGGACTCCAAGAGCCGCGCTGAGACTGGAGCAGAGTCTGGCCCTCGGGGCCCCGGCTGCAGCCTCCGGCACTTTGCCTGCGAACAAAACCTGCTGTCTCGGCCAGATGGCTCTGCTTCTTTCATGCAAGGTAAGAACTTAGTAAGGACTGCGCGGGTCACGTTCACCCAGGTCGTGTTTGTTTTGAAGAGCGGCTACCGTACGGTGCAATGGAGTGCCCACCTCTCCGCGATACTAGCTGGTAAAAGTCTCTCCTGCACTGATACAGAACTTCCAGTCCAGGTGAATAGTACTACTTACGCTACGATACACACATCTCTTCTTTCGGACTAGAAGGCAGAGGATGTCTCCACCCAGGTAAATAATCTCTCAGAATGAGAGAGGGGCAGACCTCTACTACAAGATGATATTCCAGAATAGGGAAAATTTCCTCACCAGTATAAATATCGCCCTTGACTAGATTCTTTCTCCCCTTCCCATATGCACACTCTGGGTCCATACATCCCGAACTGATGCAAACCTGTCACTTGCATAAATGCTTCTTAGACTGACAGATCACCACCACGGGCTTCATTATTCCTTGGACTGTGACAAATATTTACCCTATTAAATATTCAGATTGAAGGTGATGTCCCCACCCTGGGTTGAGGAATATTTCCCCCACTCCCACCTTACCAACTGAGTAAATATCCCTTTGATTGGGGTATACACTTCTCCACATGGTATGATCGCTCTCTAAAATTGGAGCAGGTCTTTCCTACTGGGCAAATATCCCCTTCCCCTAGCTAAATACCTCTCAAACTGGATTCAACTCCCTGACCCAGCTAAATATGCCTCTGGAGATAGGCATGGAGATCACCCTCATAAGTATTAGTCCTATCACTCAGGCATTACCTTCTACTCAGGTTCAGAACCTGCTTTTGCACCTGTAGTCCCAGCTACTCAGAAGGCCAGGGTGGGAGGATAGCTTGAGCCCAGGAATTCCAGGTTATAGTGAGCTGTGATCATGCCACTGCACTCCAGCCTGGGTGACAGAGCAAGACCCGGTCTCTTAAAAAAATAAATAAATATGGCCGGGCGCTGTGGCTCACGCCTGTAATCCTAGCTCTTGGGAGGCCGAGGCGGGCGGATTGCTCAAGGTCAGGAGTTCAAAACCAGCCTGAATCAGTTATGTTTAGTGCCTTATCCTCAGTGCATAGAACAGTACTTAGCACAAGTATTTATGTGTTCATGAATGAAAAAAAAATCAATGAAAGAAGTTTTTGTTGTTTGTTTGTTTTTTAAGAGATCAGGTCTTGCTCTGTCACCCAGGCTGGAGTGCAGTGGCATGATCACAGCTCACTATAACCTGGAATTCCTGGGCTCAAGCTATCCTCCACCCTGGCCTTCTGAGTAGCTGGGACTACAGGTGCGAAAGCAGGTTCTGAACCTGAGTAGAATAATGCCTGAGTGATAGGACTAATACTTATGAGGGTGATCTCCATGCTATCTCCAGAGGCATATTTAGCTGGTCAGGGAGTTGAATCCAGTTTGAGAGGTATTTAGCTAGGGAAAGGGATATTTGCCCAGTAGGAAAGATCTGCTCCAATTTTAGAGAGCGATATACCATGTGGAGAAGTGTATACCCCAATCAAAGGGATATTTACTCAGTTGGTAAGGTGGGAGTGGGGGAAATATTCCTCAACCCAGGTTGGGGACATCACCTTCAATCTGAATATTTAAAGGGTAAATATTTGTCACAGTCCAAGGAATAATGAAGCCCGTGGTGGTGTCAGTCTAAGAAGCATTTATGCAAGTGACAGGTTTGCATCAGTTCGGGATGTATGGACCCAGAGTGTGCATATGGGAAGGGGAGAAAGAATCTAGTCAAGGCGGATATTTATACTGGTGAGGAAATTTTCCCTATTCTTGGAATATCATCTTGTAGTAGAGGTCTGCCCCTCTCTCATTCTGAGAGATTATTTACCTGGGGGAACATCCTCTGCCTTCTAGTCCCGAGGAAGAGATGTGCGTATTGTAGCGTATGTAGTACTATTCACCTGGACTGGAAGTTCTGTATCAGTGCAGAGAGACTTTACCAGCTAGTATCGCGGAGAGGTGGACACTCCATTGCACCGTACGGTAGCCGCTCTTCAAAACAAACACGACCTGGGTGAACGTGACCCGCGCAGTCCTTACTAAGTTCTTACCTTGCATGAAAGAAGCAGAGCCATCTGGCCGAGACAGCAGGTTTTGTTCGCAGGCAAAGTGCCGGAGGCTGCAGCCGGGCCCCGAGGGCCAGACTCTGCTCCAGTCTCAGCGCGGCTCTTGGAGTCCGTGTGCATGCCCACCTCCATAGCGCCAGAGCCGCGTGCGGCTGCAACTGCGCTTCCGCCAGCAGCAGGCGCCTGCGCATAGGCCGCGTACCCAGTGCGCACGCGCAAGCCCAGGGCCTTCTGAATTGTTCCTACACGTGGCTTAGCGTTTACCAACAATCTGGCTCCGCCCACTCCCCACCCCTAACCTCGGCAAAGCCATTGGACAGTAGTGAAGAGGAGGCAGTCCTTGCATGGCCTCGTCCCACCGAGGCCCCGACCCTGAAGCCTCGAGGCTCTGGTCAGATTGGCCTCTTCTTTGCCTGTTACAGGAGCAGCTACGAAGAGGCGGTCGGAATAAATTTTGGAAGATAAGATTGTTTTCTCCACCTCTCTATGCATCCTACTACACGTAACTGGAAGAGGTGGTCTTCTCATCCAGAGTGGTGCGGGCATTTGAGTCAGGCACATAAAGGGCAGCCCCAGACTGGGCAAGAGGGGCGGATCGCTGAGAGGTTGTTGCCAAGATGGCGGTAGTGGTCGCTGCGGCCAGGTTCTGGGGCCAAGCCGAGGCCTGGGCCAGGCTGCCCTCCTGGCGCTGGCGGCCCGGAGCTCGGGGGCTGGCTAGATCTTGTGAGTACGTGGGGCCCCAGCGGATTTTCCTCAAGGAAATAGAATGCAAAGGCTATTCAGAGCGTGAGCCCCTGCATGGTGTGAAGGAAGGGTGTCATAGAAGGAAAAAGGACTGGGAAAGACTACTTGGAGAGGACACGCAGGAAAGAACTTCCACTTCTTCAGGAGAGGAACAGCGAGGCAGCTCTGTGTGGTCCTGAGGAAGGAGACTTGGAGGAGAGGGATGGGGGTTCCTCATTGTTTTCATCTACAGGAAGGTCCCTTGGAGAGACAGGGAGGGTGCCGAGACTTTGTCCCTCTTGAGTTGGAATGAAATGACTTTGTAAAGGGGAGGCTTTCTTCTGAGTAAGAATCCTCTTGAAAGAGGAGAAAGGAGAGATCAGTTCCTGTCACGGCTTTATAGGGCCTGCATTTCTTTGCCACAATTATAATTTTAAAATGGATTGGTAAAAAACTTGTTTGATTCTGTGTGTCCGCTGACCGAATGCAAGACAGGAATTCATATATTCTGGACACTATGCAAGAGGATTAGTAATAAGTGTTTGCTGAATAATAGAGGAGGAAGGAGGGAGAGAAGTCTAGACAGGGCACGTTGTACACATTTCTTGGAACACTGAGAAAGCTTTGTCAAAAGGGTCAGAATCCCTTGAGTAGATGGTGCTAAGATTGAGATCACGCTGTGGAAAATCTAGGTGAAGCCCTGCTTATAGGGAGAGGCAGTGGCTGTAGAAGAGCCTTGAACTAAAACTTCACAGATGAGAGTAGTAGGCTGGGTGCTCACGCCTGTAATCCTAGCACTCTGGAAGCTGAGGCGGAGATTGCTTGAGTCTGGTTCAGGATCAGCCTGAGCAAGAGCAAGACCCCCATCTCTACAGAAAATAGAAACTTAGCTGAGTGTCTGGCCAGCACTGTATCGCAGCTTACTTGGAAGGCTGAGGCAGGGAGGATGGCTTGAGCCCAGGAGTTTGAAGTGCAGTGAGCTATGATGACACCACTGCACCTCCATGTAGGTGACAGAGAGACACTCTACTCTCAAAAAAAAGGCGGGGGGGGGAGTAGTATTAGTGAGTGGTTCTGAGCTAGACCACGTGAGTTCATATCTCTGTACTGCTACTTCCCAGTTGTGTAGCTTTGGTAAGGTCTGGACCTAATTTCCCTCTCTGTAAAGTGCTAACATGGCTACCTCCATAGAGTTATTGTGAAAATTTAATGTGTAAAATGCTAGAACTGGTCCTGCACATCGTAAGGGCAAAGAGGAATGTCCGGTCACTGTTGATAGTGAGGTGGAGGGAAGGGAAAAACTGACCTTGGAGATGAAAGAAAGGAGGTGACCTGCGAGCCTTGGTTGATAAGGGCTGTGGGAAGAATTTATCAAATCTTGTGAGGTTGGTTCTGATCCTAATCACAAGGAAGGGAAGATGGAATCTGCAGGAAGAAGTTCTGGTAGGGGAAGAAACAGGGAGGAAGTTGAAGAGGATGGGCAGGAGTGGAGTGTGAGTACCTAGGAAGGAGTGACTTAAGCAGGTAAGTACAGAAGGATTGCGAGCCGGGCAGTAAGTGGTAGGCAGCTCCTGCTTTGGGCTGTCCCTTTGCTT